ATCGAAAATTTTAACCCTTACTCTAGTTAACTTTTGATAACAATAGCCACGCGGACATGTAAATATGAAGACTAAATTTTTTCCAAGTTTCTAATCTAATCAACTGTTTGGCCTAGAATTTTTGTAGAGAATGTGAAAACGATTCGATTGATGCATAATAATGTTTAAAAATGAACTTATCGAAAATTTTAAACCTTACTCTAGTTACCTTTTGATAACTTTTAATAACAATACCCATGCGGACATGTAAAAATGAAAATTCTAATTTTTTTCCAAGTTAGTAAGCTAATCATTTGTTTAGTCATTACTTAATAAAGAAAAATTTTATTTATTTACAGTTCACAAGTCTGGGCAGTCACCTAGTGACTGCAAGGTTGCTTGTTATTCTTATTATTATTATTATTTTTGTAGTACTCTATTTCTTTAGTTTTATAATTTATTCAAGTTATAACTATACTCTTTACAATATTCGAATGAAGTTAATTAAATCTCACAATAAATAATCAATCCCGTAGAATATAGTTATCAGTAAATGATACAATAGATAGTTCGTGTATAAATAATAATGTCAAGATAGTACTTCGCGATTACAATAATACGATAAGTAACATAAAGGAAAATAGGACCAGTGTCCTAGACCGTAGATGTGTGTGTCTCAGAGGCTGAGGAAAATCTGCCTCGTGCTCCTTGACTCTTGAAGGTGTTAGCCTTTGCTAACACTCAGCGTTGTTCTTGGGGCCCCGTGACGTCATGAGCCCCTTGAATGCCGGGGAAGGGATTTTATGGCCCAAAGAGTACAGTGGTTGACGAAAAGTTTCGAGAGTGGAAAAATACTCCCACAAGTATTTGTTCTCATCACGAAACTTTTGAAAATGTCTTTCATTTTAGAAGTGCATATGTTTCATAAGTTTAGAAATGTACGTATTTATAGTATTACACTCCTCGCACAATTTACGGAATCAAAAAAAGGGATCGGAAAAAGGCACTTTAAAGTTTGAAGATTCTACCTAGTTTTTTTTTTAAATCTTAAAAACAAAAAAATGTCACTTTTTAATAAATTAATCTTATCATTGTATAGGTTTTTCATTTTCTTTTATGTATATTAATTGACAAATTTTATTAACGACCCATATGAATGTTAGATAACCATTTGGATTATACTTAATGTTAAATTTCAAAAGTTAAATATAAAAAGAAAAATAAACTAATGACAGGTCGACGATATTTCTTTTTTTATTTATGTCTAGATATCGCAATTGGAAATTGATCTAAAATTTAGCCTTTATTAAAGTCAAAGTATTCTCTATACATTATGAAAAATTTTAACTCAATTGGTAGTTTAGTTAATTAATTGTAACGGAACAAAGATTAAAAACTTTATCGATTGACATAATGTATTAGTATAGATAAAAAACGAATGAATAAAAACGCTATGTCCTTTGTATGATAGCCTATATATTATAGAAATGAGTGTTATAATTTCTATAAAATTATACAAAAATGTTTTTTATCTATGAATCATTCTTGATATGTAATTGAAGACATATCATATTGTAAATACATCTGTATTGCACGCGTAAACTGATACTTGTTTGTTCAGATTGTACTGTTAATCATTTCTTTAGAGTCGATTTAAATGTTTGATATATTGACTTTCATTTTGGTCTAATTAAATTTTTACACTCAATTAAAATATTTATTGCTTTTTTTCCAAAGTTAATAATTATAAAAAACGAATAAATTTCTTGCAATTTTATAATTAATTTAAGAAAAAATCATTAGCTACTTATAACTTATAATAAATAATAATTATTTAATTTTATGTCTTTTTATGTTTTCAGCGGAACTTGGTGATTATGATCCGCGACGGCATTCTCCCGGTTATGTTACCGAGTTTCGATTTCTCACTAATCAAACGTCTGAACTGGAATCAAGGATAGTCGAGCTTCATAAAACTCTAATGTATGCTATTAAAGTTATTAATTACTTACTTTTAATTATATGGGCAATTTTAAACAATTTTTTTTTTTTTTTAAATAGTGGTCAAGTGCCGTCAACAGCAGAGCTCAACTATTTGGATAAAGTTAAGTGGCTTGAAATGTATGGAGTTGATCTTCACCCCGTGTTAGTAAGTATTTTATTCAATTTACCTTAATGTATATCGTACAGATGTGTTAATGTAATTTTAATAATTTTGTTTGAGGGCGATGACAGCGTTGAATACTATTTGGGTTTAACTCCAAGTGGTATAATATTATTACGAAATAAAACCAAAGTAGGCAATTACTACTGGCCACGTATCAACAAAATATATTACAAAGTATGTAAACTATTAAATTTTGTTTTTTTAATATAAATTGTTTTTGTCGTAGGAAGAAGGATATTTTCATGTAGAATTATTCAGAAATTAGTTTTGATTGATGTTGGAGATTTTGTCGACTTTATCTCAACTTCGACAGCAACTTAACCATTCAAATAATATTGACTCATTGTTAAAACAATTACGAGTTCTATTTTTGGTTTGATTTTATCTTTTTTTTTTTTTTTTTTTTTGTAAAATAAACAATTGTTTATTTAAAATTTTTAAAACTGTTAAAAGTTTTAAAACTTTTAACTGTACAAATTATATACTTTAAAAAGTTATTGAATGTTGATTGTTTTAACGTAACTATTCCTTCAAATAACTGTCAACGCTATCGTCAAAATAATTTCACATGAAAAAGTTTTTCCCACAGCATAAATAATTTATACATAATATATTATGGTCATGGATAAGATAATAATTGTTTCTTCATATTTTATAAGAAAAAAAAAAAAAAAAAAGGTAAAAATATTAAAGAAAAATTGAACAATGCAGGGTAGATACTTTATGCTTCGTGTCAGCGAAAAAAATTCAGAAGAGCGAACGCACGGGTTTGAAACGCCGTCAAAGGGTGCTTGTCGACATCTTTGGAAGTGTTGCCAAGAGCATCAAGCATTTTTCCGATTAATGGCCACTGGACCACCGCCTATGAGCCCGTACTCTCGTTTCCGCTCTTACAGTCCCACTTCAGAAAAACATCAGCAGGGTTCTATTCGTCGGATTCCACAGCCATCTTTTCAACGTGTTCCAAGTCGTAGAGCTCAGCGTAGAATCGTCGAAGGACAAGAGACAGTCGGGCCATTTACGGAAACTCCAGCAGTTGATCGCATAACATCTGTCAATTTAGGAAACTCTAATATCACTAGACATGTAAATAGTTCCAGTCCCAGAAGTATTCGAAGTGCTCCTTGGACTCAAAGTCAATCGCGAGGATTCTATTCATCGTCCAGTCCTCGGTCTGTGCGTTCTGCAGGCACAGCTCCTGGAGTAAGTTTTCCTTTGTTAGTTGTCCTAAGTATTATTTTTACTTCATAAATAAATTTAATTTTATAAGAGTTTTTTTTTTTTTATTTCAGTTATTTAACAGAATTCACAGGCGGAGTAGTTCTGTAGAAAGTCAAAGCTCTGGTGACAGCCATAGTCGCAGTGGACATCGTAGACGAAGCCATAGTCACAGTCACAGCCACCGTAGACATAGTCGGCATTCTGACTGCGAGTCTGAACTTTCTAGAGGATCCGATAGCAGATCTGGCCACCGTAAACATCGCCGAAAACACAGAAGTTCTCGTAACTCACGGTACTTTTTTTTTCTTTTTTGTAACTTGAAGCGGTTGATTAATTCGCTTGATAATTCTATAGTTTTTTAATTATTTTTTAGGCATGAGTTGGTTGATTCTGAGCCACAGTGGAGGGAAGCACAAAAACGAAAAGCTGAAGGAGTTCAAAGAGCAGTGGTAAATGTTTTATGAAACTTATTTTATATTTTTTTTTATTACATATAAAGAAAATACTCATGGTAATAAAATTTATAGGTGAGTCATACAGAACCGAGAAGAAAACATAGAAGTAGACATAGAAGTCCATCTCAGAAATTACCTCACGAACTTAGAAAGTAAGCTCATCAATAAATTATTGAGAAATGAATCTGTATTTTATGAAAAATATTTAATTCATTAACAATTATTTGTTTTAGGCATTTAGAGTATGATCTCATTGATACATCAAGAATGACTGAAGAACAACGAAGAGAAATATCATACACGGTTGTTAAATCTCAAACAATCCCTCAAAGTCTTTCGCATTTAAGTAATTTACATTTAGACGTTGATGCAACAGTCTCAACTAGGTACGATGATCTCAAGAAAACATCAACACATTTTAGTCATTCTCTTTTAGAGGATGATACTGAATCAGTTATCATTGTCTGAAAATGATTTAATTTTATTGTTTTTTATATTATGCATGAATCAATTTTTTTTTATTAATTTATTCTGAGCATGTAAATTATTTACTGGTTAAGCATGTTCTTATTTATTTAAAGCATGAATATACTATAATAAATCACTTATTAACAGTCTCATTGCACTTGTGTATTTATTTCCCGTGCTAATGCACTCTTGTGGTTGTGGTATTCCACAATTATTAATTATAATATATATGTGTATGTATAATTAAATGATGTGTCAATAATAATTATTATTATAAATAAATAAATAAATAAATAAATAAATTGTGAAAGAAGTAAAGGTAGCTAAAGATTCGCTTTCAGAACAATCGGAACATTTGACAAGAGGGATAGACAAATTCGTCATAAATACGAGGCTAATTATGACCCAGTATTATCATCAAGATCCACTGGACTCGAATCAAAGTATTCGGCACCTAGGAATCATTATAATCATCAAAGAGATTATAATTCGACTTCACGTAATAGTAAAATATTAATTGGCAGCAATGTTGATAGTGGATTAGGTGAAAGCACTACTCAAGATTTATCGAGTTGCTGTTCAAGTTCTGCTGATAGCACTAGAATAACTCGTATGGTATGCTATAACTTTTATTATTCAAAATCATTCTTAATAATTTTTATATACGAATATTTTTTTAATTTCTACATATTTATAGTTCCATATACCTATACTGTCTAAATATTTTTAACTTGAAAAATAATTTTATATTGTATTGTATGAACCATTAAAAATTATAGTGACATAATATTTGATTTGGTGCAGACGCAAGGACAATTACCAAGAAAAGGAATTTATGATTTATCACCAAATCCCGAAAATTCGCCTCCTATTGATGTTACTTTAGATGCAGTTCTTCAACCTATAATATCGTAAGCCGTCATATTTTATTTTCTTACAATCAACTATTATCATTTGTAATTTTTTCATTAAAATTAATTTTTTTTTTTTTTTTTTTTTTTTTTTTTGCAGAACATTAACACGGAAACCTAAGAATTTGCCCAAATTATAATTGAATAAATCATTTTATATTAAATGATGTATAAAAACCTGTTGTTAATTCAACTACTTTGTACATTTTTATATTCTTAAATAAATAAATAAAAATAAATCCTAATCCTATTAGTAATAGGATCAATAAGAAAACAATAATTTTTTTTTAATCTAAATTTTACGAAGTTTCGTTTTATTGAAAAAAAAATATATTAAAAATATATGTAAAAATTTTATTTAATTATCCTTCGATGCCATGTGTCTCATCAAATTTCCAATAAACTTCTCCATTTTTTTTAAATCTTGAGCTATCTCAGTTTTATATTGTAAACACTGTAATCAAATTTAATTAAAAAATTATTATCTGTATAACTTGCATTATTATCTAATTATTAAACAAAAATTATTAATTACCGTTCGATTGTCTGTGAGTTTTAAGCACAACACTCCTTTATTATGACAATACTTCATTGTATAACGTGCCTATAAATAAACCAATGTTTAGAGTTATTAGTAGAAAAAATAAATTAGTTGGTAAAAAAGTAGAATTACTTTTGTTGGATCTTGAAGGTATAACCTTTCTGCACCCTTTTCAAATTCTTCCCACGAATTGGCATACGTCATTTTGATAGTAAGTGTATAAAATAAATAACAAAGCTATTTTTTAATTCGGACAGTTTCAATTTGTAGCACTAAAAAGAAACACAGGTTATTATGGTTCATTTCTTCTCCAAAATTTATACGAAATGAATTTATTTTTATTTATTTATATTTATAGATTATAGATCTAAAATTGCAACGTTTATTTACCTTAATAGCCTTTATATACACCTTTACATCCACTTGACAACTTTGGTAGCTGGTTGTCAGTTATTATTTTGTACTAAGGTTAGTTTTACAGAATACAGTAACATTGAAAAGTAATAAGTACAATAGTTCATTTGTATTGTACTCATTGCTTTTCCAACTTTTCTGCACTGTATTCGTTACTTTCTTGATTGTGAGCATAAAAATTCAAGGCAGTTAATCTACATTACTTAAAAAAACAGGGGACTCCAGCATTTATAAAAACGAAAATATAATTATTAAATTTTTAATAAAAAAATCAAATTATTGTTTAATATTTTTCTAAGCATTTGAGAAAATTATGCCCACAAATTTAGCTATGAGGGCACCACTTCCAACTGTACAGTTATGGAGAAGTGTATGTACGTTGTAATTGAGAGCGGGCGTTTCCTCGAAGGTTTGAATCGAAATTTTATTATTGTGTTGGGTCTTCTATTGATGTTTATATGGGTGAGATTGGTTACTTGTCTGATGTCTGATTGTAAATTGTGTTATATTATTAACGATTTTTTCGTTTTCCATACTGCTAGATTTTGAAAATCGTAAGGTACTTGTATTTTCTCTTGTTCTAATGATTGATAAAAATTTAAAAAATTTTCAGTCGCTGTACTTGTTAGTTCGCAGTTGAAGAAGAGGTATATTCATCAGGTCTTGAATTTCGTATCCACAGTTAATTATTATGTACTAGTCATGAAGTTTCCAAAACTGTCACTTCTGGCGCTAGCCTCGATCTCCTCGAAGCGAACAGTCTCAATATTTTTAGCCAATCAAACGACGAGTTATGTATCAAGGCAATGTCTCATGCTCTTTTTATTAACAACAAGTATTCATAAAAAAAAAAGAAAAATTAATAAAAGAAAAAAAAAATTAAAAAATCCTGAGAACAGAACTAGTTAAAAAAAATTCGACAACGGCACTGGTGAGCGCTGAAAGTATGACATGGCTGCTCACGCTCACGTTCGGACAGGTGAGAGGTTTATATCATCACAGGTTGTCGCCATAATTTAAAAACCGTCCGATCATTAAACTTTTAACGGCTATTGAAATTTTTAACGGCGAAAAAAAAGGCGAAAGTGTTTTAGGAACTAGAACATGATTCGAGGAATGCGATCAAGACATAATGGTATGTGTTTTAAATTTTATTAATCAGATATTAATATAAAGATATAGGTATAGACGTACGATAAGCTGACAATGGCTGTTTAAATGTCAAACAAAGTCTTAAACATAATGCATCAATAACAATGTCAGCATATAACTTGTGTTGCTAAATTTGTGTATTGGGATTAGAAAATTAAATTAATCAATTATAGGCGTTTTGTTTATCATATTAGTTATTAAATGTAATCGTTATCTGAAAGAGGTGCCCGATGTATTTCTCTTTATATACTCATTTATAACTTATTTTATTGTTTAGTATATAACAATTATTTAGTAGATATATGTTGCGTGTATTTGTGTGTATGGGTGCGTGACGTTTGGTATGGCTCAGTGTCAGGTGATTACGTTTGTATCAGTACGACTACAGCTAAAATACGACGTAGTGCATTCTACTGATTTCCTCTTCAATTACGTATTATTAATATTATTGTTATTTATTTGCTCATAGAAATGCCTATCCCAACAAGAACAGCACCTAAACCTCCTGGAAATCCAATTGATCAACGGAACAATACATGGAGTAACAAGTACATGAATTTATTTATTTATTAATCGAATGATAAATAACGATTTAAGATTAATTTCATGAACATTTTTTTTTATTTCTTTATTAAGATATTTTTTTAATATCAAGCTGTCAGTAAGAAAAATTATATTAGATTGTTGTTGATGATTGATTGGAGCATTTTTATTGGACTATCAATTCTAAACGTCGTGTAGTTAAAATAACTCGAAACCTTGAATTTTCTATAAGTATTTTCAAATTTGATAGATTTTATAACAGCAATTTTTATTTTTACAGTGATCCGTTCGGGCCTCTAACAATACCACAGCCAATTCAAAAGAAAAAGCCACCTCCTCGGCCGCCACCTCCTCGAATTAAGAAGGATAATATTCAAAATAATTTAAATAAACAAAGAAAACCCGTAAGATTATGTAATCAACTCTAGTATTAATACTATTGAATTCACTTTATACAGAGAAAGTATTTCATTTTCTATTTAATTTTTAATTAAATGTAGAAAAAAATTTCAACATTTTATTTGTTAAGTATCTTATTTTAATTATCAATAAATAGCATAAATTATGATTTGAACTCAATATTTGAAGATAAATAGTAGAAAATTAGAAAAATATTATCTACATAAGAATTAATTATCTTAAAAGTTATTAGCTATTAAAGCTAAATTTTTTTAACATTTTATTTGAACTCGAATTTTATAAGAGTTTTAATATTTTTACATCATGAGATTTTTGCTACTTAGATAAAGTTATTGCATTACGTGTCAAGTTTGTTACTATGCTTGATAACATTGTTCGACTTTTATTCGTATCCGGTTGATTAAAACTTTATCTAGTTTTTTTTTTTTTTTTTTTTTTTTATTCTCAAAACATTCACTGTTATCATACAAAAGTCTAATAGTTTTTTAAAAATCAAGATTATTATATTTTTAATTTTAACTAAATACAAATCTATAATTTTATTTGGTATATGTAACACATCGATAATAATATAATAATAGTACAAGTACTTGGAAAAAAAAAAAAAAGGTAGTAAAAAAATACGTTTAAGTTTATATAATTCGAAAAAAAAATATTGATGTTGATGACGTTTGTTTCTTTTATAAACAATGTAGATTAAAAAAAGAAATCTTTCCATTTGAAATAAGGAATGTAGTTTTTGAAAATATAAATTAATGAATTAATTATAAAACATATTCAACCTAATATTTTTCTATCATGACGGATAATTAAAGTACAATCAAATCTTTCTAACTAATCTTTTGACAGTTTTTAATTAAAGTATAAATACCTTCTAATTAACAAATATAATTGTGATAATGTTATATTATTAATTTTTCTTTTATGAAGGTTAAATCTTTCGTAATATTTTCAGATTAAATATTTTTTAAGTCAATAATTGAGTAATTTTAATCATTTAAAAATAAATTTTTGTTTGAACAATTTGTTTTTTTTTAACCAATTTTAAATTGTTTGATCAATTATTTGTTTACAAGTTTGTTTATTTTAAACAAACGATAACATACGAATAAAAAGTTGATGTTTAGAGATGAAATAATTTTTTCGTATGCAATAAGTTATAGTATTATTACTAAAGACGTTGAATTTTTACAAAATATATATTTTTTTGTATATGATAATGGAATAATTTTTTTATTTCAGACAAGACCAACGGAACTCATTACAAATTTATTTGGAATACGCTCAGCTAAGCAGCCACAAATCAAATCAATTTATTCGCATAATCGATCTACATGTACAAATGGTCAATCAAATAATTCATCAGAAGGAACAGTGTCACTAATAGACTTAAGTCCGCCTGGTTCACCTACATTTACTATAAGATCCAGTAGCGATGGTGTTAGTATTGATAGTTTTGGAAGTGATGGAAATTCAAATCCATCGGTATTAACAAGTAGTAGTGGTAATACATCACAGAATGAAAGTGCCTTCGAAGATGATTTTGATTTTTTTGGTAGTTTATCTAAACATACTATCCAAAATGATCCGTGGAAACAAAATACACCTTTTGACTCTCTTTCACAAAAAAAAAGTATCAATGCAAGTTTAACAAATGGAATTAAACATGTTGGTGAACCCTCGTTTATTTCTTATAACAACGAGCAATTATTTACACCAATGTCTTCAACAAATAGTGTTTCAACGATGCCAACAATTATTCGCGCTCGACCTCCGAAACCACCAGCGCCTAAATTGCTTACCACCACTAGTTTAGCGCCAACTGTTCCAAACTTTAATGTTCCTTCAAGTGCACCGAAGGTAATAAATAGCTCTTGTACTTTTAATGAAAATTTAACGTGGCCTACTGCGATTAGCGCAACGCTATCAGAAGGTAATTCTTCACCACCTATGCCATCAATTCCACCACCAGCACCGCCACCAGAATATTTAGCACAAATAGAATGTTCGACCGTAAGTACTACATTGAAGTTTGATCTTATTTTTTTTTATTTTAGTAAAGCAATTAATACAATAATAGAATTTTCTGCTATTCAGACACAAAAAAAATCTAGACCACAAGGTGTTGCTTTGTATGATTTTGAAGCAACTCAATTTGGAGATTTATCATTGAAAGAAGGTGATATTGTGTTTTTAACTAAAAAAATCAATGATGAATGGTTGGAAGGTCAGATAGGGAATCATATTGGGATGTTCCCTGCTAATTTTATCAATATAACAGTACCATTAAATGAATGCTCATCTGATATTGTAAATGCGTTGTATACCTTTAATGGAGAAACCTGGGAAGACTTAAATTTTGAGGTAAATTTATAAGTTTTCATAAATTTACATTTATAATTAAATAATTAAATAATCAGTTTGTAAGATAAATCATATTCTCGTTTTGTAGGAAGGTGCAAAAATTAAAGTTTTATCGAAAATATCTGACGATTGGCTTTATGGTGAATATCAAGGTAAAAAAGGGCAGTTTCCAACGAATTACATCGATCGGGTTCCTAGTAACTTACCAAAATATTTATAATTATTTTAATCAAAGCTCAAGCTTATGATATTAATTTCATATCGTTAAATTGAATTTAACAGTATATGAAATAATTTATAATTAGTAAAATAATATGGATATATTTTTTCTAAAAATCAGACGGGAACAGTGTGATATCAGTTATTACATATGAAATACTTTAGCTCGATATCTTATATGAATTTTGTACGAAAAAAAAAAAAATAAATAAAAAATCTCAAATTATCGGTTATTTGTATTGATAAATTTCAATAGATAAAGTGATAAAAATGTAAATGTAAATCTAGTGAAATTATTTGACAAAATTTTGTAATCATTGTAATTATTTGTATTTATAGACATATGTCTATTGTCTGGCAAATTAACGTTGTCAAGGATATATCAAGATTTTTTGTTTAATTTTAATTTTTTTATTCTTAAAATATTTAAAAACTTGGCAATTTAACTGAATTAAAGTAAAATATTTAAGTTCCAATAAATATCTTTCGCATAATAATACTCGGAATAGTTAGTAGGATAACTGGCATTTTTTTTTTTAAGAAATGAATTATGTAAAAAGCATTCAGATAGTTTACTAAATTAATTTATGATTGGTTCTTACAAATTGGGGGAAAAGATGTAAATGTAAATATAGAGAAACAACAATATTTTTTAATCCGGAAAAGAAATCCTAGAACCTTCCTACGGTCTGAGTTCTACTATATAAATAGATGTAAATTTTTTAACTATTAGAATTTTTAATTCATTATTTTAGCGAAAATATTGTAAAATACGAAAAAAACAAGATTCGATAAAAAATTTTTAATTCATGTTAATATAAATAAATTGATAATCAATTTGAATTAATTTTGCAACTACTAATAAAGATAATATATACATAAAACTGTTAAATTTTTAATTTATTCATTTTTACAATCGACTAGTTATTAATGATAAAAATGAAAAAAGAAATTTTGTTTCTCATTCGATTGGATATATTAAAAAATTGTTTAATTTGAATACTTTAATTAGTAATCTAGTCTAATATACACCTTCACAATTTCGTTTACTTGTTGCAAAGAATTTATCAAATTGATTCATTTATTTAGTATTATCGTGAAATACATTTACATTCACTTTATTTAATAATTCACTATCAATATCGTATAATTAAGGAATAGTAAAATAGAGTATACAAAAATTCAAAGTTTCTTTGTTTCATAATATATATTAGCTAAGTATTCAATTTATTCAATTTATAATTTAACAAATTATAATCTATTTATAATTTGTACGACAAGTATTAAAACAAACGAGAATATTTTACTTTATTATTAACAATGAAAAGCCTTAAAAATTAAATAATAAGCTGTTGAAATTTTGTAAAACAAATAAACAGCTTCTTTTAAAATGTAAGTTTCTATTAATAAATATAATTTGTTATGTGATTTTATTAATCGACAGAAAAAAATGCATTCTGCTGGAAATAATGTAAATAAATTGATAATTTTTTAAGTATTTTATTGTTTTTGTATTCATAGCTAAAATGAAAAAGAAAATTTTGATGTATTTCGTTAAAGTTTTGATACTTAAATTTTACGAAAGAAATAAGACGTTTTTTTAAATGAAGTAATTTATTATATATTAGGTATAAAAGTAATAGAATATGAAAATATCTTAAATTTTATGATTATCTTTAAAGGATTATCGTCTAGAGAAAATAATAGTCGCAAATGAATTAGAATAAAGTAAATTACACTTGGATGTTTAAAGTTTTCAGATCTTGAATTCAGATTTTTTGAGCATGAGCAGTTTTATTTCTCATTTTAAGCAAAATATCATCTTTGACTTTGGTTGTTTATACGGGAAATAATGGCCGTGCAAAAAATGATCAATTTTGCAATAACTGCTAATTGTTATCTTGTAATTGCTTGGCAAGTGCCGAGGTAAAGAAACATTAGTTTCAAAGTCTAAAAATGAAAAAACTTTGAGTTTCAATTTGCCTTTTTTTAACTTCTCTGTGAATATTTTTTTCTGAGGTACAGATAATTTTTTTTTTACGCTTTTCTTTCTATAATAAGTTTATTACAATTATTTAATATGTGCCAAAAAGGTGCTAAAAAAAAATATTCTCCAGCAGCTAGATTGAAGCAAATTTTTTTAACTTCAATAAAATTTTAGAAAATTTTTATTAAGGGATCATTCTGGTTCCGCCGCTCACTCGAAAAAAAGAAAATATTCATTATTTTTTTACACAGAAACCATTATAGATATTTATATAAACTTTATTTTTTTTTAATATTTTTTATATGAATAAACAGCGGGGGAACAAAATTCCTTCAAAAGTTGGTATGTCGCTGACGTAAATGATAACTTGATAACGGCTCATCTAAAACACAAAAATTATATACCTTCAATATATAAGTAGCTATAGCAGGAACTACGGAGATGAATATTTGTTGATAAAAAACAAAATAGCTGATATTAAAACAAAAAACTTAAAAATAAGCCTTTTCCCTAGTTTTTAGTCCTAAAAAAATAGAAAAAATCAAAATTTCGATTGGGTTCTAGTTCGTGTCATAGCTACTATTATGGAGAATATATAGTTTAAATTTCATTTCAAGACCAGGTCAGTGGTTCTGGAGATATCATTTACAATAAAAAAAATATAGTCCTGAGATAAACGCGTTTAAAGTTTTTTTGATAAATAAAAAATCTTACCTAAAGTCAATCAGCGATGCCAGCACCATACAAAATCCCTTCAGCCTGTTTGAAAATTTGATTTTCTTTCTTTCATTCGAAAATCCACATAAACCTCGTAAAATAATATAGTTACAGTGATCAGATCACTGAAAATTTTAACACAATACTTGAGGAGCTGAGTTTCAAAAAGGTATCTTTTCATTTTTGATGAATCGAGACAAAAAACTGGTTATCTTCAATTATAAATATCTGTATTGGACTTTTTTCAATTTAGCTATAAAGTGCTATCGGTTATGAAGTTGCAATTCGATTTTCATTTATAAATCTTTATAATTCTCGAAGTAATTAATATTTAAAAGTTCAGAAAACTGGTCTTTTAAAATATGAAAAGATACCCTTTTGAAAATCAGCTCCTCACTTGTAGTTATATGTACTTTCGAAAAATGTAAAAAAATAATAATTTTTTCAAAAGTTACAAACCAGAATAATCCCTTAATCAAATGATATTAACTAAAATAAACAAGAATAAAAAAAATAATTTTAATGAAGTAAAAACATTTAATGCAAATTATTAAAATTTGTCACTTAAATTACCTTAATTTATGTTTTTGAAATTCAACTTTATTTGTTTGTGACTATAATTAATATAAAATTTAATACTGTATGTATCGAATGTATTAATAACAAATTATTTTAAGTATTGGGACCATAACTCAAAATATTTATATCCAACTGATATTGTATTATTGTGATACTTCATTAATTTAAATTGACTGAACCATAATAATTTTGTGTTTTATTTATTTTAATTATTAATGAAATTAATTTAGTTTGAAATAAAAAATAATTTTTAAAATGAAATAAACGTTTCCACTTAAAAAAAATTTATTGACTTTTCAGATAATTTTTATAGAAACTTGACTTTGATTATTATAAATAATCCGGCGTTGCTCGGAACAAAATGTATCGTTGTTATCAAAAATTTTTTTGAATATTTTAATACCTTGGAATTATTTGGAGAAATCGATTTTAAAACATTGTACATAAATTATTTTATATTGTAAATTTATATAAATTATTCTAGATCATTTTAAAATATTAAAAATCATGTTAGACTATTCAATAGGCTTCTGGACCATAATAGGCTATCTTTGATTATTTTAGAATCTTCAGATTCATTCTGCATCATGACAAACCTTAATTCTTTAGAAAGTATCGATAAATTATTAAGTAAATTATGGAATTTGATATCAACACTGCAGAGACTATCAGGGGCGCGATTTTAAAAAAGTTGATTATATTATAATTAAATTAGGAAATCAATAACTACTTTTAATTATAATGAATGTTTTTATTTAACAACGCTCGTTAAACACAAAAATTTAGTACCACTTCTTAAAGCGCTTATCACACGATCTCTAAAAGTTTTTCCTGTCCAATAATAGAGGATAAAGTTAATAGCAAAATTCCAATGATAGATATGGAAAAACAATCCTCTGCACCATTTCAATAACATTTTTTCTTGAAGCCTACAAAATATAAAATAATCATAAAATCATAAAACACTTGATTATATGTACTATTATATTATTTTTATATTTTATAAAAATTAAAAATCAATGTTTTTATACAAAACTCTCACCAGCTTATATATTGTTGTTGATTTTCTTCAATATATTTAGAAGGATATTTTTTCAATATAACATCCCAGTATAATTCTAAAGTTTCAACAAATCCAATAGGTAATAGTAATATCAGATGAACAATCGATACAGCTAACAAAGTTCCACTCGTTCCATTAATAAAGTTTAATTTTTTTTGAACTGTTCCTAACATAAGTTCATTTGTAAGACCAATGAGTATATGATAGATTTATTATACATTAAGTATTAACATTATGAAAATAAAGAAAAAATATATTGCACATTTTTTGCTTAATGATAATTTTGAGCGTTTTTATTAGCTTTGAAAGTGATTCGAAACTATAGTGCTCAGAACATCTTATTAAATTTATCTATTGCATTTGTCCTCATGATGGAACTTATTTAGAATTCCGTTGATTTAATCTATCGTTTATAACTTCAAATGTAGACGTAAATATTTATATAAGCAAAAAAAAATATGCTATTATACTCAATAGACACAATTATTTATTTATCCTACTTCCTTAAAAGAATAATTTTAATATTTTAGTATTTAAAATTACTAATACACACGAACAAAATCAGGTAGGAGAGATATGTTCTTCATATTTGAGGTATTACTTATTATTATGGCTAAAATAAAGAAATTTAAATATAATCATAGAGAAGATGATGAGTTCTGATCAATAATAATATTACAAAAAAGGAGGATTTATTACATCGTAAACGTCGAAATTATTTTAATTTAAAATGCTCTTTAACTTAAAATGAGTCATATCAACCTAACATATTCAACTTTTAAAAGTCTGCTTCACTGATTTCGCGGTGTGTGTTGTGAGAAGAGTAACGTGATTTTATAGACACAAAAAAGTATAATTTAAAATCCTTTTGGTAATAACAGCTTGATAAAATTTTAAGATTCTAATGTAATAATTATGCTCACTACGATATAATTTATATTATATAAAAGTATTATAATAATGCAATATATGAACGATATATTGTCAAAAAAAAAAAAAAAAAAAAATTTTAATAGGTTGCTGAAAATTAATTCGAATTCGTAAGTCGTCTCAAATGTTGAAAAATACTTACTTATTAAGAAATTACTGACATAAAAAAAAATTTTAAAAATACTATTTACTGTCAAAATGATAAAATATGCTTACGAGTTAGTTGTATGTGAATTACATCAGACTTTCTCATATGACATATGAGTAACACATTTCCAATAAAGATGAAAAGTAAAGGAAGCCATGTACAAAAAGCTATGTAAAAGTACATTGGGATTCCCCATGGGATTACTATTTTTTGACAAGTTACATATTCAAATACACTGTCAGATTCGTACCCTGGAAAAAATTGTAACAACGGTAATTAATGAAAACCAAAAAAAAAATTTCATCAATTATATTATTTTTAAAACTCACCTCCACAGTACAATTTTGTAAGTGAAACTATAAGACTGAGACAAGTCAGAATAATAATAACGATGATAGCCGAACAATCGTGATTTTTATTGAAAGTTTGTAAAGGAAAAATAATTGCAGCGACTCGCGCCCAAGTTAAAGATACTACAAGCCAAGTCGATGTTATTTGGAAAAATTCCATACTCACAGAATTAAAGCCACATAGAAATTTACTGTTCTAAAAAAATTACATGATAATATATTTCATTAATTTAACAACATTTAATTACGCATACAGTTCAATGAACCATTGTAAAATATCCTCAAATAAAATATATTTTTAAGATTAGTTATCATTATCACTAATGATTACTAACTCTTTATGGGGATATTTTTTTTTATTGCCTAATTCAATTACCATAAATAGAGTATTGAATGCTGAGAAATTAGATCTCGCTACTCCGACGCCATAATCAAAAATTAAAACAGCATTGTCTGATATTGCAAGTGCTCGAAGATACAAAGATAATCCTGAATCGCAAAATCGCAAAATCGGCTTACTCAATATACCAAATGAAATAGCGTTGAGTATAACTCCTATTATACATATTGTTAAATAATTAAATTATTATTATATACTATTATATACTTGTGAGTTTAGTATAGATACTATCATTTTTATTGAAATGTGGCGTTTAAAATTAATCAGATTCTTACCAAAAAAAATGACGAAAGGTGTAACATAAGCTAATAAAATACGAACGAATTGAACAAATGGTTGTAAACTTAGCCAATAATGTCGCACTTGACAAGGCCAAATAACTTCTAAATCAGATTGATTAAAATTTTTAATAAAATCCAAAACTTCCAATGGTATTAAACATTCTTCTCTAGATTAAAATTCATATATTAATTTAGATAAATTTTAAAATTCCAATTTTACAAGTTGCATAAAATATAATTATCTTTTTATTACCCGATGAACGTTTTATTCATGACTTTGTCATTCTCCTCCATTAGTTATAAAATGATGTATTTTCTTCTGTATTTTTAAACTTTACGATCAATCAAATGCAATCTAATACAAAAAAAAAAAAAAAAAAAAAAAGCTGAAAAAAACTTTTTTACTCTGTAAGCGAATAACACTGTTATAATTACTATTTACAACTCAATTACAGTAATAATAACTTAAATATAGTTTTATAATTTTATAAATATTTAAAATAGAAATAATGCACTTGGTAATAAACAGTTAATAACTGGAGTTGTTTATCCTAACTATAAGAGATGTATATTTCATATCTCGCAAACCACCTGTGTATTTAATACTAATTATCATAACAGAATTATTCTTGACTAAGACAATTTTACCACAGACAATAAACGGGTACTTATACACACAAACATTTACCTCTTTTAACATAAGAATTTAAAAACATTTGTCATTATGAATGAAAGGTTGATGTGCACTCGTTTTTTTCCATACGCTTTAAGTCTCACATTTGAGAAGATGAACATACTTATTGTAATATTATCTTAGGTCAAAACAATTTCAAGCTTTAGCTCGTAAATATTTATTTTCACCTTATCTTTTGTCACAACAAATGAAATTGATAGAAATAAAAACGATAAAAATAATTTCAACTATTAGGCTATCGACATGGTGAAAAAAATCGGAAAAAATTTTTAATGAATTGAAATGTTCTGATTTAATTCTTTTGATGTAAAACTTTGCAGTTCTGAAATGAGAGCCTAAAATTTTATTATAATTTAAATGAAGAATAATCATCAATTTAAACATAATTTTTCTGTAGATATTCCTTGGTTAACTAAATTAATGATACAAATAAGAAGAAAAGTTCGTAAGATTAATAAATTTTAATTAAATTGATTAAAATCAATAAGAAAATTTATATTTATTTGATCATAAATATAATATATTTACTTCTAATAAAACGGATTTATTGTAATTTAAAAAAAATATTAACCTTATGAATTTTCTTTGTTGTCAGAAGTTGAAAAAAAATGATTGTCCTATAAGTATGTAGAATCATGAATAAAGACGTAAAAACGTAAGAGTATAAAGACTGGGAAAGTACAACTATGAAAAAAATTAATAAATTAAAAGTAATAAAAAAGAAAATAATATCTTAAATAAAAACAGAAATATAACTAAAAGAATTCGAGGTTTTTTTTTTTTTTATACAAATAAATGCTTTTTAACATCAATTTTATTTATGATATGCTGTTTTATATTGTATAATTATACCTATAATATATATATATAAGCAGTCAATACTAATTATTTACAAACTTGCAAAAAAAAATATAGAACTCAATTCTGCAAGTATACATGAGCAAAAGGCACACTTTGACACTACAATATTTATATTTAGTATTTGATACATAATTTTATTCGAGTAGAGAAATTCGTTTATCTGATAATACAGTATCAGATGTATTATATTACAAATATATTGTTTATTATTTTATTAATGAATTGTTATTCATATACGTCATATTATCTTTGACATTAATTACGAAAACTCACTATTTTTTTTTTTTTTTTTTAAGTGAATATAATTAAAATCATGTTTGTTATTTACTATTGTTTCGATACAAAGTCAATAAACAAAATTAAATAGTTGAAATTATGAAAAAAAAAAAAATTTTTTTTCTTCAATAGGAATTTTAAAATATTAAAATTAACAATACGGATTCATGAAACCATTTTATTAATGGAAATATCTTAATTTGCAAAAGTACTTTTGAAATAAAATAAATTTATATTTTTCGCTGTTCAAGAGGCAGTTGATACTGGAACTTGAATTCAAGTCTTCATTATTATCACAATATTTAAACAAACAGCAAAATATTTTTTTTTTAATTTTCTGACTATTTAAACTAAGTTCATAAATATAAACCCAATATAATGTGTACAAGGTTTCATATATTTACTCATTTTATAATATATAGGTATGTATTAAAGTGTGTCATTTACATAAATATATATAATTTTTTATATAATGTCAACTCATAATCTTAAAGTCATTGACAAAAAGAATTTTAAGCATTTTGGAGAACTTTGGAGGTTGAAAACAAAAGTATGTAAAAACTTAGTTAAACGTCTCAAGTCAAATTAATAATCTTTAATTTGTTCGAAAAATATCTTTGTCAATATTTTTGAAAAGTAACAGTTTTAGTAGTTTAAAAAAAATTTTTTTTTTCAACAAAAAGTTGTAAGGATTAGATTAAAAATCAATAAATCATCAAACGAGAATTCAATTTTGTAACATACACGAATTTCGGTTTTCGTTCAATCTTAATTCATTATTGAGTGATATAACTTTAAAGACAAAATAAAATTATCCCATGTTAATGAAACACTTTAATGTATATCTATTAGATTGCGAAAACATCAACGATTTTTTTCTTTCAATAATTGTATTGAAAATATTTTTAGGCTGTAGAAAAAATTATTCGATTAAAACTCAAAATTTTAAAATCAAAATTACGAGGTGCGTTATAGCTACTCTCTTTTTCTAGCTTTAATAACATAGACTGCTTTTAATTGATATTGATATATAACTTAAAATTCAATACATTATTAAAATGATACCAAATTCATGTTTACTTTTAAACACATTTTTTTCTTACTTTCGTTAAAAAATTTGATTCGTTTAATTAATGTATTGTTAATTGCGAGCAGCTAATTCCAATCGAATTTTTATAATTATTTTCTATAATTTTTCAAAGTGTAAATTTATTATTTGCGTAATAATGCACCTTTTAATTTAAACATCAATTAAAAATTCAAACTTTAAATAACACCATTTTTTCGACTTCCTGTACAGTATTTTTAATTTCACTATGGAAAAGAAAAAAAATTTGATTTTTTTTTTGGATACAGTTTAGTATGCATGAACAAATTAAACTATCCCAAAGTATTATCAACTAAATCACATTTATTTGACAGTTGAATTAAACTGTCCGCAAAAAAATTTTGATATTAAAATTACAGTTAACACATTTAATAACGGTAAGTAAGCATTTCTTGCATTAGTATATACATAATGGAGACATTGTTGGCTACTGCCGATATCATATAAAATTTATATCACCAGTGCGGTTCTAGCCCACGGTCGTGGATTATGATGGTATAAAATTTTTTTAATTTTCTTCTTTGGGCACCTCATACGATTGAAACAACGGTAACCAATCAAGCCCGAGAGATTAAAATAAAATAAAAGTTAAAATTAAATTTTCATACGTATTAATCAAGAGTGAAAAAAAGTTTAAATTGTAAGTTTTTCAATGGTCTTATTGATATTGGACGGACTTGAAAGGTTAAAATTTTCTTAAAGATAAAAATTATTCATGATCGTCAAAGATGATTTTCAAAATTTTGTAATTCTATTCTTATTTATAAACTGATAAATTATTTTACTAATAGCATTAATGATTATCGTACTAATAAGATAAAAATCAAAATATTGACAACGGATGAAATTCAATAATTGAAGATATAATTTTTACAAAAAAAAAAAAAAAAAAAAAACTATGCTGATTTTATTTGAATGTGTTTTTACTTATGATCAAGGTCGGATCTTGATCCTGTTGCTGACGTATAAAAATTTTCCATGAAAAAAAAATGTAAACACGAAAAGTTTAACATTTAATTTTTTTCCTTTTTAATTGATATATGAAATCATTTAATAGATATCAATCTTGAGTATTCAATTACTTTTTCTAGTGTTTGGATTAGTTATTTTTCTTTGTTGGTGTTAGAGCACCATTATAACTTGTTTTTACAAAAATATATCATCACGATATAGTAACTATCTACCACTAAAAGCATTCTAGTAAATAAAAGCATACTACCGTCCTGAATTAATCAAATTTCACGTTATTTTATAATATTAATATTTTGTTTTTACACATTATCACGATTTTTAACACATCTCAAGCCTGAAACATTGAGTATACCGTCTCTCTATTTGTAACATTTCAATCTGGTTTATAAATCGGTATTTTGGGTATAAATTCAATCAAAAGAACCTATAAAAAAAAAATTAACATTATAATCCAGTCATATTTAGTTATTTCAATTGGTGATAAATAATTCAATAATTTCTTACGTATTCCATCATCGATGAACTATCGCATCTCTGTTTAGTTAGTCGCCAGTGTAATCCAAGCTTGTGATATAATCGACTATTTTCCCACTCTAATAATTTATTTAACGAGTGTTGTGTCTAAAAAATAAATTTAATTCTTGTTAATATTATTAAAAAATACTTCTTAATTTTATAAATTCAATTAATAAAATAATACTACAGTGGGAAACTGTATACAAAGAATGAAACAAAAAGATTTTATATAAGATGGTAAAACAAACTGCTCGATTTGGTATCTGACATCACCTCAAGTTTTTTATTCCATGATTTGTGTACTATTTTTCATATCAGATTTATTAAAGCTCCGAATTTCAATGTGTCTGAAGTTAATCGACGTAATAAATTTAATTTTGAGAAATTAAATGCAATAAAGGGATGCTAAAAGCGATCCATTTTTTTGCTTAGGGATGAAAATAATTAGTTTTTCTTATTTAAGTATTGCTCTGATTGAAATCAGTTCGCAGTTCTGAAACGTATGGTATGAAAAATAATACCAAATGTGAAAATAATTTACATAAGAAAAATTTTTTTCTTTTAACAACATAATCATAACTTGAAATCTAAATGACAATTTAACTATAGATAATATAAAAGTTGATTGAAAATAGGCCAATGTTTGTTTTCAGTTTTGGTTATAAGTTATAACTAAAATAGGTATTGGACGATATAAAAAGGTATATTTTTGATACTTGTTAAACTGGAAAAAAAAAAACTTTTGTTATTTCTAGAAAAACTAAAATTTTTCTTTGACTTATTGATTCAATTATAAAATAAATATAATTTAATTATTTAAAATTTTGTATTACTTACTCTTTTACTAAGACAAATAACTGGCCACAATGAACATCCCAAAGTACAGCAACAACATACGCAGCCACAAAATAGCCATTTAACGTTAACAGGTAATGTTTTTTTTAGTACACTGTTAACTCTCATAACAGTAGCTTTAAACTCTTCTGGAGCTACTCTTGATACTAATCCATTGGGAAATTCTGCCTCAAAGCGATTACTTAATCCAAACCTAAAAGTTTATTATTCATATTATTTATAAACTTTAATAATATATTGTTGTAATGAATAATTTATAAAATAGTTTGATTCATTATAATTATTTTTTTTTACCTTAATTTTAATAAAACCGTAATATTAGTAACTAGAATAATAAAGATATCCTATAATAAATATCAAAGGGTCAAAAAAGTATATTATTCTTTTGAAATAAGCTATTTTGATAAATATGGATAATAATAAATATATTTATGAATATAATTTTATTTTCTTTGTTTTGGTTTTACGGTTTTTCAAAAAAGAAAAAGCACAAAAAATGACAGAACAAAGAAATTTCTGTTAACAAAGGAATGAGATTCTTTGTGACGTTCATCGTTGATAAGCCATAGTTAGGAACCTTAAACGATTCGGAGTAACTAAAGAATAAATGAAATGACATACATTTTTTTTTTTACATATATAATATAATAATAAAACTTACACAGTCATATTACCAGCTCCACGAACGACAATCGGATCTGGAACAATAGTTACGTAGTGGTCTTCTGAATTTTGTTCATTTTCTTCTTCTTCTTCTTCATAAATTGCATCAAAATCTGCCATTGTAATGTTTTTACAAAATAAATCTTTTTCCTAAGCCAATTTTCTTACTTTTGTTTCTAATCAATTTTCAGCAAAAATTTAATTCAATGTAAGTATTTTTTTATTTTCATCAAACATTAATTATATCCATTTCTGTTTAATACAGAAAAATAGTTAATGTCTAATGACTTTTATTGTATCATAGAAAACGTTTGCACACAATAATTTACACACTGCGGAAAATACTGCAGATAATCCTGGTAACGTGGTATGAACATTGGTGGAACATCTCACAATAATCTAAATAAAAATCATGAATACGAACTCCAAAAAAAACATACCTATACTACACCCACTACTTTCAGTCATGGGAACTTTGCTATAGGTAAAGAAATGGATAAAGAATATTTAAAGTTTACCTATATGTTACTATAGGTAGATCTCGATACTATAAGAGAAATATATGTATAGCATATCTCTTTATACTTTATATGTCGTAGAGTGTCAAAGCTCGATGGTGTAGGCATTAGGTATAATGAGACTTTGTTCCCCCTCCCTTTATTACTATTTGATGTTAGTGCCAACTTAATTTATCGAAATATTCGAAAAAAATCAACTACTTTTTGGTTTTGCTATAAATTTTTATTTTTTTACTTGTAATTATTACAATTTTTTCGAAAAATACAAAGACTAATAATAATAATAGATTAACCTATCAGTAATAACTTAAGAAATATATTACATAGGATAATTTTAGTGTGTATACTAAAATTCAGGCAAGCGTAGTTGGATTAGCAACCGAATGTCATTCGTGAATTTTCGGTTTTGCAAATAAATTAATTTAAACCAATGTTATTTTATCTTATCCGTATTATTTTTCAATTCTAATCATTTAATTAAAAAAAAAAATCTTGGCTCAAAAATTCATGTTTGCTATAAAATTTCTATAAAAACCGAAAATACCCGAACGAAGTTACTATTTTAACTAAGGGATTGGTAGTAGAAAAACAAAAATTTCAGTTATGATTACAAGTAAATTTGCTTATGAAATAATTGTGGCATAGTTTTTTAAAATTCTATTTTTATTTTTAATATTTAAAAATTTGAATAGCAGAGAAATCACCAGACATCTGACAATTGTTGAAATTTTTATAATCAATCAATTGTGATGAAAAAGATATTTTAAAAAATTGGCACTTTTAATATTTATAAATTTCTACATTTAGAATTCTTTTACCTAATTTTTTTTTTTTTTTTTATGATAATTTGAACGTTTTTTGATTTGTCCTGAATTTGATTGTAAATTATTAATTTAAAATTGTGATTATTTTCAAAGAGCGAAATTTTTTATTTTTCTGAACAAAAATATGTTATTCTCAATTTTGAAACAAAATTTTTAAGCTATCAGCGATTATAAGAATTGAATGTTTTAGATTTTTTAATCCATTTTTCCTTGGAAATTTATAAATATTTCAACAAAAAATTTATAACACAATAAGTAGCACATAATATTATTTTATAGTTCCAGATACAAAAAATTATTAGTTGTCAATTAATTTCGATATTGGATTATTGGAAAATATATATCTATAGATATTAATATATTTTCGAAAATCTGAATAAATTAATTTAGATTTAAATTTCGTAAAAATATATTCACTCTTATAAGCGAAAATTTTTAGTAAGGTTTTTAAACGCAAGGGGGAGTCACTTATTAATTATTACTTATAATTGAATAATCGAACGATTGAAGCGCCACCATTTAGAAATAGAAACTATTGCACTTTAGATTTGTTGGAGAAAGTTCAGAAAGTTGATTTCTCATACAGAAGTTGGCGCGAGAACAGTGAACACTCTTTCCGAAATAATTAATTTTTATCAAAAAGTCTAAATTAATTAATTCTGTTAGTTTTTTTTTTTTTATTTAACCGTGTTACTAAAAAACAATATATATCAAAATGTTTTGGGGTAAGTTTTTAGAATATCCATCTTTTAAATTTAATATAATAAATAAATCACGCCGGTACTTGTTTGAAATATGGCGTCGCCATGTGGTTTCTGACCTTTAAGAACATGTGATTTTTTAAAATCATTTATTGATATTTAATTTGTTTATAATAATAGAATTTTTGTTTAATCTATTTTTTAGGATTGATAATGGAACCAAACAAGCGGTACACGCAAACCGTAGAAAAAGCATTCCACGTGTCTATGGCGACTCTTGATGTTACGACCGCAGGTAAAACTTTTTACGACTAATTATTTAAATATGATATTATAAATAAAAATTATTGGATTTGTTATCGCTATTATTACTGTTAATTTAAAATATTAATTTGATAAAATTTACTTTTTTTTATAGATGATGCAGTTGTTCAGGTTATGCTATGTTATGATAACCGTAATTATCTTTTGTGTAACTTGCTTAAAAGTTCATCTCAAGCCCAGCTTGATTTAAACTTCAAAGAAGGAACCAGAATTTCATTCACATCTAACGGTCGTGGACATGTACATTTAACCGGTTATTTGATACCTGATGAGTTAGATGATCTTGAGCAAGATTTAGAAGAGGAAGAAATTCCTGAATTAGTTGCTAAGAATGATAAGCGCAAAGCTAAGGAATTGCCAGTAGATAAAAAAATGTTGAAACGTTTGAAGACTCTTAAAAATGAGTCTTCTGAAGATGACTCCGACGATGATGACGACGATGATGATGATGAAGATCAAAGTATGTTGGAGCGTGAAGATGACAGTGATTCTGATGAAGAGGTAGAGGATGAAGAGGGAAGTGATGAGGACGAAGATGACGACGACGACGATGATGATGATGATGATGATGATGATGATGATGAAGAGGAAGAAGTACAAGCAAAACCTCAAGTACAAAATAAGCTAACTAAAAAACAAAAAAAACAACAGAATCAAAGTCAAGAAACTGCCAAGCAAAATAATTTGGTTAACGGCAAAGACAAAGGAGAAATCAAAAAAAAGAACAATGAAGAGCAAAAGCCTCAGAATGAACAATTGGCTAAGAAAAGAACTTTAACTGGCGGTGTAGCTATTGAAGAGCTTAAAGTTGGTACTGGTGCTCCAGCTAAATCAGGCAAATTCATTTCGGTCTACTACGTTGGGAGATTAAAGAATGGTAAAAAGTTTGATTCAACTACAAGTGGAGATGGTTTCAAATTCCGTCTTGGTAAAGGAGAAGTTATCAAAGGTTGGGACATTGGTGTACAAGGCATGAAAGTCGGTGGTAAACGACGTATCACAATACCTGCACCTATGGGGTATGTATAATTAATTATCTTAAATATTAATGTATAATCTTATATTTTACAAAATAATAATTATTTATAAATTATTTTTAGTTATGGTGCCAAAGGATCACCACCTGCTATTCCTGGAAATAGTACCTTGGTATTCGAAGTTGAACTTAAAAATGTTCATTAGTTATATGATGATAATTATAATTATAATTAAAATAAGTATTGACATATAATTTTTTAAAATACAGTATAAAGATATTTTAAATGGCTCATTCACTCATACCTCTTAAAACTTTAATCATTTAGCTTAATATTATGTGCCATTAATAAATTAATCATTCCATAATAATATACTTAAAAATTCTTGTTTCATGAATTATTTTTTCAATGACAAAAAAGTAACTACTAAATTCATATATCAACTTAGTACTTTTTTCATACTTGAATTATATATTTTGTAATACGAAATATTTATAATCCATTGAACATTTTTTTGCTACTATCATAAGGTAAAGATAATTGAACAATTTTAATTGTATTTGGTATGTTAAAAATAAATTATCGTTATAACTTACAATACATATTGTAAATAAACAAAAACCCTTTTCAATTTATTTACGAATTTTATTAAAACAGAATTTCAATCAGTATGAATGGAGCAGACAATAAATTTTTTTTCGATTATAAATAAATTAATTGATTTTTGAAAAATTGCAATTCAACTAATTCCCGTAATTATATTTAGTTGTCCAAGTGTATATTTTTTTACAATTTATTGAAATACTAGCTTTATTTTTTGAATTTTGAAAATGACTGCAAGATTCACTTTCTTATTTTTATTTTTAATTTATGATGGGATTTGTGATATTTTTCTCTGTATAGTTAAGGGCACTTTTGAGGGATTTTTGAATATCTAGCATAAAATTTGTAAAACACAACTTAATTTTCGATAGTTTCTGATAACCTTTCAAAGCAATTAAACCGTGACTATTTTCACTTCTTTGACTAGCTTTGGTGGAGCTTGATTTTTATCAGGTTATTCTTTATTTACTTTATATTTCCATAATTAATAAATATTAATTTTATAAATAGAACATTAGATCGCTTGAGCACTGTCACTAAATTGTTATATATATATATATATATAATGATAAATACAGTAACCCAAGCGGCACAAAAATTTTTTTGGTGATGTTTTGTTTAATTTAAGTTGATAATTATAAATATCTGACTTTTTGTTAAATAAAATCTCCCAAAAAGTCAACATTTCTTTCGTGACGCTTGGGATCCTATTTTTTAATGTTTTCAAACTGTCGAGTTAGAATAAAAAGAAAAAAAAACATTTGAATTTCACCAAGTTGATCAATCAATTCGTAAATTAGATACTTCTCCCTAAGACGACAATGAAGATTTGAATTTTGTTGAAAATCCAAGCTAAAAACAAATTCATTATAATATTTTGGAAGAAAATAATAAAAACGAGAAACCTAAACTAGACTTTTTATGTATATTCTACTGATTTCTGAATGCTAACATCATTTTTGATTAGATAACACCTCTTTTCGTCAACTTTGTTGAAATTGATTTTTTAAAATCATTTAGAAAAGTTAATTATAGGACGGTGGTGTGGAAAATTATTTTTATAGATATTCAAATACCAATTTTATACCTGATGAATATTCGTATTTACTCTCATGAACATTAAATTATTTTTTTTTTTGGGTTGTGATGATTTTTTGTGGTAATTTATAATTTATCATTCATTTAATTCTGATAACATAAAAAAGATTTAGCATTAAATGTATCATATCAGCTCAATGATTTGTCGTTAATAATTATTCAGAAGAGTTTTATTTTTCTGATAAACTAAGCAATAGAGAAAAATTAATTTTACTTTCTTTTCGGCTAAATTGATTTAGGAATATTTTATTTTTATTAATAAAAATTTTTTTTAATTCCATTGCATTGCATATTTCTGATATGTCCTGAAAAAACAAAATGTGACCTGTTTCAGGTGATATTTTAACTTAAACATGAAGCGGATCCTAACTTTTTAAGTTCTCTGTGGAGTAACAGTTTTATATTTCGTAGCAGAGTAAAGACACATTAGTGTAGTAGTTAAATTATTGGAGATAAGATGTCGAAAAACGAGAATAGAATAACACCTTTGATATAATAACTGTTATTGATCGTACTCATGATGATAGAATAGAGGCGTATGAAGGAATTACTTTGAGTTTAGTTTACTAATGACAAAGACAATTGTTTATCAAGTTCTTATAAATTTCTTTACCAAACCATAGGATTAAAGTAACATTATTTATTTTTCATTATCATAGGAAAGATCTTTTACTGTAATTATAATCAAAAATAGAATGTTTTTTTCATTGTCATAATAGTTCTTTTGTAAGTAAAACAACTTAATTAATTAATTATTTAATGTAGAAGAAAAATATGCCAAGGCAAAAATTGTTCATTCAACAATCCTGGAAGTAACATGCGTCTCCAATTAGTTTGGGGTTTTCATTGAATAATAAAATTTGAAAGAAGTTGTTTGAGAAGTTTGCAACATTAAAGTATTCTGAAAAATTTACAGAATTAAAAATCTTTGAGTTTTTTAATTTAAAAAAAATACAAAATTTACCCGACTTTTGCTAAAATTTTAATTGCTATTTATTTTGAATCTAAGAAAGGAATCAAATTTTCTTATTATAAACGAAATAATCTATTTAGAATTAAAAATAACATAAACTTAATGACAAAAGTAAAAATTATATAAAAATATTAACATCATATACTGAAGAAAATTATGGACGAACATCGAAACTATATGCTACAATTAAATTTTTCAAATGATCATTTATTAAATATTCTGTATAAAAATATTTTAGTAAAAATATTAACGTGATTGGCCGTTATGTAAATGGTCAACGTTTTTGGATTATTGCTGATCATATTCACATTTCACATCTATGTTTACTCCTGAATCTTCAACATCTTGAGTCATTGCAAATTAAATTTCACATTATCTACTTCTCTTTGTTTACTTTGTTTTAGATTATATTTACAACTTCCAAATCCTCTTACCCCTAAGAAGCGATTTGATGAATCATCGTAGAATTTATTCAATTGCTTCTGATTAAGTAGATTAAAATATCGAACATTAAATCGTCAATGCATTATTTAGCATAAGTATATCAAGTGAGGTCTTATTGACGATGCTTTTAACTTATATATTTTAGCTCTGTTGTCCTTATCAATTGGTCGTGAGAGGATCGTTGAAACCACAATATATGTGATTAGAAAAATTAACATAGGCATGTTATCACCCAAATTATGATTCCAATAAGCTCTCTTAGCGTATTTTTTCGTTGAGAAGATAACTCAATTCTGTATCAATATAACCACTACCTAACATTCTTCCATATACAACTCGGTTGCCCAATTTTAAAACACAGAGTATTTGCAAAATTTTTATACATGATTTTTTTTAGCATTGCTGCATTTCTTATAACTTTTAGACCTTAATTACAAGTATTTTTTCTTAAAAATATTTATATTCAAGTATTTTCTATTCATAAATTAAATTTTTTATTAATTTGGCGTGCAAACTTTTTTTTAATAAGAAAAATTTTAAAAAATTTTCAAATTGCCAGTTATTGTGTTTTAAAATTGGGCAGCCGAACTGCATGGCATAATTGCAGTATGGTTATCTAAGATAATTAGTTTCTGGAAAGTTGATAAATCTTAATTACTGAGAATATCCAATAGTTTGAATTTTTTTGTGATTAATTTTTCTTCCTTTGGATTGTTGCTAATTTCAGTTATGAACGTTTTACTTTAATTAATTTTGAAAAGATCTTCCTTATTATCTTAATTATAAAGATAATAATTGACCACTATAAAAGTGTCAAAAATCACAAAAAAGAAATAGAAAGTTAACGATAATTATTGTCTTTATTGGATTAATTTCAATTATTTTGTAGCTTTAATATAAATTGTATTTTGCTTGAATGGTACATAAGTACTGTTTATAATCAAATAAGCAATGACCTATCGATTGATACTTCCACATGATTTTTTTTAATTAAATTAAAATAATATAAATCTGAAGTTTTAGTACATACAACAGTAATGCTTGCCCATTAATAGAATACCATGAGTCCTTAATAAAATAAATAAATATTGCTACAATGAAAAAAAATAAGAAATTATTATATTATGTTTATTAACTTATTATTATTTCTATACTTGAAATATGTACTTTGTTTTACGAAATATTTATAATTTATTAAATATCATTGCTAATATTATAAGATAGTTATTTAGACAACTTTAATTGTATTTAGGAAGATGAAAATAAATATTAATTATAATTTAAAATTTCACCATGAATAAACAAAAATCCTCAATTTATTTACTAATTTCATTAAAATACTAGATTTTTAATGAGTGTAAATGCATCAGACAAAGCAATTTTTCAATTTAAAATAAGTAAATTAAGAATTTAAAAAAGTGTAATTCAACTAAATATACATGATGATATTTAGTTTTCAAATGTGAATTTATTATTTACAATTTATTAAAATTTCACTATTTTTTTTTTTTTTTTTTTAATTACAAAAATTAATTAATGTTTGCTATATTCATACCGATTGTTTTTTACTCATAGAAAGAATTGAGAATGTATGATATTTTTCCTTATTCGGTTGAATAAAGATGATTTTTTGATGTTCATTGTAGAATTTAAAAAATATTATTCAGTTTTCGATGTTTTCTGGGAATTTTTCCAACCCATTGAACAGACACCATTTTCACATGTTTTGACTAGTTCTGGTGGAGCTTGATTTTCATCTGGATTTTCTCCTTTATTAGATTTAATTTTCCATAATTTTAAAAAAATTGGTTGTAATAAAAATCTCCAAAGTAATAATAAAATAGGAATGAAAACACACGGGACACATACCATTGTTATTGTATATTTAGTGATCTGAAAAATATGCAAGTTTTGATAAGCTATCAGATTGAAATTTATACAAGTATTTATTATGAGGTTAAAATATATATAATCGAAAAATATTTACTTACCAATTAATGCTTTGACACGTCACTTTTACTTATAATAATTTACTGTCAACTTGGCTAAGTAAAGAAAAAAATATATCTGAGGTTACTTGATGGTATACCATAGCAGTAACTCTTACGCATGCGTCTTAATTGTTTTTTGACACATGACATCAAGTTTAATTTTCAATTTAATTAAAATATTATTGAATATAAGAAACTATGTTTATAAACAGAAACAGAAAAAATGTTCCCAAACTATTTCGATTCTTATAAATTTAAAGAAAAATTCATGAATTTTTTAGAAATTGTAATAATTTTTATAAATCAAAAACGAAGCATACACTAATGCTAAAAACAAAATATTTATTGTGGATCTCATTAATGAAAGATTATAAATTTTTATAGTTAAATATTTTTTCTGATGATATTAGCTGTTCTATTTATTGATTATTATTATTATTATTTGAAAGGAATTAATATATTTTCAAGAAGCGATAATAAAAATTTAGTTTTATTTGAAGATATCTTTAGAATAAATTAAAATCAAATAAACTTTTATAACTCTAATGGAAATGATGAATTATGTAATCAATACCCGCTATTGGAGTTTTTGAATAAATCACATCAATATTTACGTGTAAAATTAAAAAATTTTGATGATAGTTTTACATGTTGAATAAATCATTTAAATCAGACAATTTTTTTCGAGAGCTAGCAGATAATTTTGAAATAATCAAAGATAAATAATTTTTCTTAGCTAAAAGAAACTTTTGCGATATATAATATTATGCGTATAATTTAAAAATCTTAAAAAAAAAATTTTTTTACATAAATGAATTTTTTATTGATTCTGAAAAGCACCTTTTTAACTATACAGTCACTTGGATAGTTTTCTATGTCGCAAAAACGATAAGAATTTCATAAATAAATATATGTATTTAATCGATTATAACGAGGTCATTAACAAGGTGTTATATGATATTATGTAAAATCTTGATTTTATTTTTATAAAAAACTGATTTTTCGTTGCTGAATATCACATTCACTATAAAACCAGTTTGTATTAATTTTTTTTAAAAGTCATACAAAGTTTAAAAATTAAATATTCAAAAAATTTGATCTTATTTTTTTTTTTCTTTCAAATATTATGGATCAAAAAATGAACATATAACTTTAACTATTCTACAAAATTTAATTGGTCAATAAAATTTTTTATACATCATTAATACTATCAACGAGGTAGGATTGAATAGAGATTTTAATGTATTTAAAAATTATAAGATATGTATTTAATATGTTGGTGTTGAAATACATTATAGAGAAATGCAAACGACATGGTCACAGCCACTATATTGCTTTGCTAAGATTATTTCATAAATCTTGCATATGATTTAATTAATAATATACAATAATTATAATAGTAGTATATAATATAATATAAGGTACCACGAAATACATATGGCTAAAAATCAGTTTAAAAAAAAACTGGTGTTCTGCAATGAAGAAATAATAATCCATAAAATGAATTGTAAAAAAGATTCTTCAGTATTTACTACATATTATATGATAATTTTATCATCTAATAATGAATTTTTTTTAAAAATCGATCTTTATAATTATCAAAATCTATAAATTATACAAATCAAATAATTTGATACTTTCAAATCAATAAATTAATAATAATCATTACAATTAGTCATTGACTTTACATGCTTCCAAATATTTTACGTCCCTTAGTAACAGACATGGAAACAACGACAACACTTAATACAAAAAAGACTAGCCCTAAGATTGTAGTGAGGGCACGACACCACTGTCGTTTACGTTTAGCTCGAGCAATTAACCGTCCTAATCTTTCAGCTCGATGACCATCTAATGTAAAATCCAAACTTTTGTTGAAAACTGATATGCCTTGATTCCAATTAGCTTTATTTGAAGACTCTCCAACTGCACCATAAGAGGAACTTTCATCACTGAGGTCTAGCTGCTGAAACGAATTATTATTGAATTAAATTAAATCGAAATGTTATTATATTACGAAATATATTACTATACATTGGTAGAAAAATTAACTTGGTCTGAAGTTTTGAAGAAATTTTTTGTCTTGAATCATACAGAAAAAATTACCTAAGCCAAGAAAAATCTCTTAAGTCAAATCTAATTTTTCTGTTGGAATAAAAAAAAAAAAAATTCTTAAAAATTAATTTTTATATATTAAGTAATAGAATAATTACCGTAGAATATACAGGTTCATTAGAATTATAACAAGTTTTATCTTGTATATTTTCAATAACAGGAACGGTGCTATTGTGTTTAACATTTTGAGAATTATCATGTATTTTAATAAATCTATTTTTATCTTTGTCATTTGAATTTTCAGCACTTTTGGCATTACAGTTGGGAATCTTACGTGAAGTATGAATACCATTGCAACGCGGCACAAGAAAAACAGCTGGAATTTGATTGTATTGTTGATGATGTTTGTCACATTTATCTTGAGATTTAGCAGAAGATTTAAGTAAAAGTGTTTTTCCTTCATGAAGACACTGGTAAGATGTTTTGAAAGATGGTACAGAAACATTTGCGTATCCAGATTTACTGTACAATTTAAAATTTACAGGATTAACAGTAACAGAGTCCTGGCCGATAGCGCTGGAGGAAGAGGATGAAAGTCGATAAATGTGTTCTTCACTGGAAACACCAGTAGATGTTGTTCCGTTTGTTCCATTATTCTCAACTTTTTGCACAGTACGAGAGATGTCACGAAGAATTTCTTCAGGCGTCATGTCGCACTCGCCGTCAATAACAGAGTTGAGGGTCCGTGAAAGCTCGAGGAGGACTTCTTGTGCCGTACGGGCAGAAGGCTGACAGTCTCGCCAAGCATTGCGACATCGACTGGCGTACGTGTAAGCGCGAGCGTAACTGCAACTGGCAGATAAGCCCTCACAGTCAAGCGTCTCGCAACCAACTAAGTGTAAATCTCTACGATAAATGGATGAACAAGGCCAAATAGGACGTGGTATTGCTTCTGCTTCGTGAATTACTGCTAGACCGAGAGCGGCCTCGGCACCAAGTGTCCCGACCGCGGAATTTCGGAGAACTGAAGCACAGCATGTTGAATATGAGCCAGCAGAGAGAGGCGACGAATGGCTTGAGTACCCGGAACTCGTTGAGTTGCGCCATCTCCTAAGATTACGAAGGGCAGCCGCGCCTCCGTTTACCAATTGGGATACTTCCGCATCTACTGTTTCCTGCTCAGACCTAAAAGTAAATATTAAAAACCTTTATAGTGAATCTTTATCAATATATACTATTAATGCCTCAATCAATTATGTAAGTCACCTCGTTAAAATATCAACTGTTGAAGTTAATTTGTTTTACTTTCTATAATCATCCTGTTATGTCTATATATATATATATATAAATAGTAGACTCCGAAAAATTCTTCACCTACATTTTATAATACAATAATTAAATCTCACCGTTAGATTCAACTTTTTAAAAGTGAAAGGAATAAACATAGTAAATATAAATATACATGTATTATCATCAGATTATCATCACCCACCCTATATTTTAGTAATAGTTTTTTTGGCTCACCACTCTACATCACAACGATGGTAGTCCTGATGGATATGTGACGTTAATCCGATTCCCTGATCTTCACTGTTTGCGGACTGGCCACCAGTGAGATGCGTCTTGCCACGCCGGGGCATTCCCTCATACGGTACCGCGATTCTTACACTTATACCTCAATGCCACTAGACCGCATGGACTTGATGCAGGTTCATCCAGTGCCAATAACCACCGTAACATTCTCCCCCTTCTGAATACTGTCAGTCAATTTGCCTGGCTGTTGACCGCATACCCATCATTAACCACATTCTTTATTTTTTATCTACACAAGATTTAATTTATCCACTTGCGATTGTCTCTGAAATCAGTTCAATAGTTATTACCATTACATTTTATTCATTTCTTCCTCTGTATTACAATCATAAAGTGAATGGCATACAGTTCTTAAATAATTACAATTACAAGCGCATTGAGTAATTCTATACTAGTGGCACTTTACCTATTTTCAGTTATAAAATCGAAAAATGAAAAGTTTATCCCACGATTTTTAGCAAATTTTATTTTTTAAATTGTTTTAACATAAGAAAAAACTACAATAATATTAATATAAAGTAAATGATTACCGTCAAATTATCGATCATAATTTGAAATTTTAATTTCAAGACTTTTTACATAAAAAAAAAAAATGCTATCTGTAACTGTAATAATAGTAATAATTGCTCATAGAAAAATAGCTTAAAACCACGGAATTTTGGTAAACACTGTGTTGAATATCTTAATTTTACAATATTACAGTAGTCGCATAGGGATGGATAAAATATATGAGTTCGATAGTGGACGACAATATTTAATGAAATTGAATACACGACATTGGTTTCCATTGGGTTTCATAACGTAAGCTACAGCGTTAACCAATAAGTCAACATTAATTATCGTGTCATGATACCGTCGAGGCTATGAAAAATCATTACGAAATGTTTCCGATGAGTTTAGAAACACAAGAGCGTAAATGGTTGTGTATTTTATATATTTGTATTTATATTTATTATACATAATACATTTACACATTAGAGGTGCTACTGAGCAGGTAGTGCATAGGTATTATTGGTGGCGTGATATGATGAGGATAAGATATATCGAGAGTTACTTGATATCCGCTGAATTTAATCGGGATCCCGGCGGCGGCCATGTAAACTTTCACGTTGGTTGTTGTTGTTGATGTTTACGTTATTACATTACAGAGTGGAACCAAGGAATGTCGATGGGCGCGAGGGCATTTGGCAAAGGCCGTCTGCATGGTCGAACCAACTTTAGTGCTCAAGCAAAAACTCGTTATTACAGGAGTCATCTGAATACACTCTCTTAAGTCTAAGCCTATAAAGAAACTTAACGATTAAGAGGTGAAGGACTGGAAACCTAAAGAAGATCCATGGACCTAATATACCAAGTGGTTCGAAAAAATATTATAGGTCATCGTCATCAGTTTCATTAGTATGTCATCCAGGTTTTTTTTAAAGATTTTGTATAAGTTTACTTTTATTTTTAAGTTAGAAAATTTGTTGCACTATATTTTCTTAACAAAAAAATAAACCTCAAGCAATCAAAATTTTATGCCTAGAATTGGAAGAAAAAACAATTTTTTTTTTTTTTTTTTTTTTTTTTTTTTTTCCATGCATATTAGTAGAATAAACATTACCTTAAATTACCTTAAACAAGAAATCATACATAATAGACATTTTTAATTGAAGAGATTATAGATGTGAAAAAAAAAAAAATAAAAAGTTTGGAAAATCCAAAAGTGCACGCCTCATAATCTCATTTTTTAAAATAAAATTGATTAAAATAAAATATAAAAAGCAAAATAATAAAAAACAGAAAACACTGCTATGGTTTAGTGGCGCCATAACTGCAAGGTGAGGAAAAAAAATACTAAAATAAAATGTCTAGATAGAAATACAAAAATATCCACAGTCCTATATTAGTTTTTTATAAATAATAACTTAATGACAGTGAATTGAACGCTCATATTAACTAAGAAATTCTGTCGTGTGTTACTTTAGATAATTCAAAAAAAATTATTCCGGTACGATCATTTTTTCGACCAATTTCTCTGCCACATACACCCATTCATCCATGGACGTCCAAAAAAGATTATGTTTAATGTTATTATTTATTATGTTAAACAAAAAAATTGTTATTGAAATATATTTTATGTACTTGAAAAATTATTTGACTTGACATAAGTGTACTTATTTTAACCTGTAAGTGCGATATAAATAACAAAAAATCAATTTCAGTTTCGAGAAAACAGCTTTTTTCGAAATGTCGAGAGTAGAGCACAACCTCAACGCTTCGCTTATGAGGCGTGCAATTATGAGCTGAAAGTAATTTTGAGCTAAGGTAGGATTGGTCTTGAGGAAAAATAAATTTTGAAAAAGATTGATCTTGCAAGTCATCCCTGAAACTTTCCGCTTTTTTGAGCCTGAAACGCTCGAGAATTTTCCAACTGGTTGATTTTTGAACACTTCGAGTTCTACAATTGGTTGAAAAGTCTAATCAGATCGAAGTCTAAATGAACACATTCGAACGCCGTGTCACTCATCTCAATCAGTTGATTCGTCCTCAATGTATCGTGCAACAAAATTTTATTCATACACATATACACATACGCGTGCGTGGTCAGATGTCCAACCGGACATATAATAGTTGGAACGGCTTCCTAAGACATCAAAACCTAGAGATCTGATAAAAACTCGACGTCTTAAAATTGAACCGAAATCAAATTACGTTTTCACGGTCAAAAAAGGTCAAGTATTTGATAACAGTTTGATCAGATAACCCGTTACATCATGATTGAAGTAACGGCTACAATTATTTATGGAAATCTTTACATAGTGCTACAATTATTTCAAATGGTTACTGGTTTTATTTTTTTTTACTACACGCTGAGAATGTAAAGTTAATATGTAAAGTTAATTGCTATCATTGATTTTTGATGATTAGTATTCGAGGTAGTACTTATTATAGTATAAGCTCGAAAATGAGCCTAATAACGGAATACTCGAGCTTATTGGTATAATATGAGCTTTAAGGCGAGTTCAGAGATGAAAAAGCCATCCAACAATTGAAAAACAAGAAAATTTTTCAAAGTGATTTGTAATTTTGTAAAGTTATAAAAATAAATGCAACAGTAAAATTTTATTGAATTTAAAGGTAATATTGATTACAGAAAATTATAAAGATATAATAATTGAAATTTATTTTGTGAGATTTCAGATGTATTTTTTGGTTATTCGATTTTATAATTCGAGTGTTATTAAAAAAAAAAAAATAATGATTTTTCAAAATTTCAATGGTCACCATTCTTAAACTGATAAATCAATTTAGCCCCGCGAAAAAATATACTCTGAGTAAAAAATTAATTTTATTCAAGGAAAAAAACTTATGAACTAAGAAAATCATTTGGAAGAGTTTCGTTGTCTTGAATCAAGTTAAATTTACTCAAACAAAAAAAAATTTCTCTATTCAAGAATTTTTCTACTCAAATCAAGATGATGACGCTCTTCAAAATGATTCCCTAGGTTCAAAAATTTTTCTCTGGACTCTTAAAAAGTTAATTTTTTTTTTCGATGTATAAATCAAGTATGTAGGAAAAAAATTGAATGAAGAATTCAAAGCAAAATTACATTTTTAAGCTCGTTTTATACCTCCTTCGTTATAGATTTTAATAAATGGTTTATTAATTGTTACATAATATTTCTAATCAAAGATAATAAAAATATTACTTATTATCTGCCAATAGTAGCGGTATTTACTTTCTCTTAAGATATGTATTAAATAGAATGATGGATGTAAGAAATACTTATGATGTTCATTATAAAAATTGAAATCATTATTTATAGAATTCTAGTAAAATTAAAAATATCTACTTGCGCTCTATTGACATCTGTTACACTTAAGCTTCTTGTACTGCATTTTTGTCCGAACTATCGACCGAAAATTAATTAATTCAGAGCTGTTGCATACCTATAAAAAAACTGTGCCGGGTATGTTCTACATGTTCTGAATGAGTTAAGAATAACATTTTCTGGTTTTTCGGAATTGTTGTTATTTATTGTGAGCTTTAAAATAACTTATCGAAGTGAAAAATTGAAAAATGCGCTATCGTTTTTAAATTATCTTATCTGATATGGCTTCAGACATTACAACTTCAAATTTTAACACAGATATGAAAAATAATGTGTGGCACGATATGAAACAATAACACTCGGTCCCGTCTGAAATTGTCTTGTTTCATCCCTTGCCACGTAATATAAACGGCCGAGTTTATCTTGAGTAAATGCGCGAATAATTCTTAACAAGAATTTTAATGATATTCAAAGAATTATTTGATACGAGAATGTACAGAACAAGTCAAAACTTTGGTAAATACCTTTTTTCCCTTCCAATAAACTAAGGTATTTGATTGCGTATTCGTGCGCAAACAAAAATAACTTTGGGAGTAGAATCAATGAGGCCCATTGGCGCCCCGCAAGGTCGAACAAGTTAAAATATCTTTGAAGACACATTGCTGCTGTCCGGGCAAAATACGGAGGCGTGAAAATAACGCGACTTTCACTTCTCTTGGAACATACAAATACGACGTATCATTTATTTTTTATGTCACTCCATATTCAATTGTTAAAAGACTTGTATTATGATCTTGTGAATCATAATTAAGTTTAGTTTCTCATAGACTTATTATAATTACTTATGGATTTGTTTTCATTTATGCGGTTTCTACATTTCTTTTATTGAATTGAGACTATTTTTTCCTTATTCTTATTGTCAGTGAGATTACACTGACGATTATTTTCTGAACAATAAATTTAAATTTCTACAAATGATATAAAATCAATGCAAATTTTATATCCTTTTTTTTTTTTTATTTTTTTAGTGAATCAGTTGTGCACCCAATGAGTTCCAGAAAAATTTGATTTACAAACTTTCACTTGGGACGCTGCGACATGGTCGTACAAGTCAGGGACGTCCTTGTCTCAAAAAGAAGACGCCGCTGTAAGTACTTATGATTCAGGCGCCATGCATTTCATTGGAAAAAAAAAATTTTTTGTTTTAATTAATGCAGTCCTATGCAGCAAATATAAAAAATTTATAAAATAATATCAATGATTAATACTTTTCGATTTAGGGGAAGAACAATTTTTTTTTTCAGTCAATTCTTGAGATAAAGTTATTCTGTATAATTGATATCAATTAATAATATTGGAGATTAAATTTTGTTTTTAATGGAATCATATAATTTTAAATTAAATTTTGGACACATCTTCACTACTGTAATTTTTGTTCACTAAGATTTGTTTTATTATTAATTATGAGTAATTTGATTTATATATATATATATATATATTATTTATTTATAGAGTAATTACTCTATTAGTTAACTATTAGTAAAGGTAAAAAAATTGCTACAATAGTAAATAATTTATTTCATGTATAAAAAAGAGATGAGTCAAGTGAGAGTTGGTAGATAAATAAAAGAAATGAGACAAAGACATTGGAGAAAGCTATGAGGTTATCGATTACTAACAGTGAGATTACACCCTATGTAATTTTAAATTCAAAAGTAAGAAACGTTCATTTATATAGATATATGTATGTTAAATTAACAAATTTAATAAATAGCACAAAACTAACTATAAATATGCGTTCTGTAACGTAATAACTGAAATTTAAACTTTAAAAGTGAATATAAATTATTTTAGTATGTTCGTGGTATCGTATTCAAAGAACGATCACTGATATATTGCGTCAACGAGTACAAAGCAATGTCTACGTGCTTGAATACTCGATGAAATTGTCATCGAGGTAAAGGTAAGGCATATTTACATAAAATGTTATAATAGCACCTGTACGTGCAGACGTTTACTAAAACTAGTCAAGCCGATAAATATATAAAAGTATAAGCTATTGTAGTACAAATAATAGATATTTTATTTAACATTTGTCACCATCACTTTTTAGATTTTTTTTTAAAAACCAAGATTCTATTGCAACTTGTAAGAAAAACCTCATGTAATTTCATAAATAATGTAATCAGTCAATATATGAGTTTCATATAAGTACCTATTTCAGTAAGCAGCGGCTGTCCTTTCGGAGTAAAACTTTCACGCACGTTGTTTGCGCGCGTTCGATCTTGCACTCGCGGATCTCTAAAAGAAACTGAAAGTCCCGTTTATCGAGGGACACACTGCGTCCACAAACTCAGGTCTCAAACTCAGATCAGGCCGGGCTGGCTTATAGATACCAGGTACCAAATACGTAACTTAACTGTTGGTAACGCACTTATAAGAAGTATATTTAATTGACCTACTGAAGTATGCGTTCATCTAAATTATTGTGATATATTGTGATATATAGCGAATAAACATAAAGTCGTTGAAGAATAATAGAAAATTTGTAATTTACTCCTGAACTGTACCGAAAATCAATACCTAGGAAAAATAATGAAAAAACCATATCCATGTTTAATAGAAATAACTTTTAAGAACCTCCTTAAGTTCAAAGTAAACAGTATTATCTCATAGTTCAAAATAAGATTTTTTTAATGTTTTCAGGTAGCCTGTTGTAATCAATTAGTGAGAAAACATGTGTAAACCATTTCTAAATTTCTATTGATCAGATTCCTTTTTTATATTTCCATTTATTTAATTTAGTTTACCGGTGTCGGATGATGAGTTAGCATTAATTTTTTAATACAAAAGAAATGCTTTTGGGACAGTTAGGAAATTTTAAATTTACTTTCATTTTCAACATAAAATATTATTCCTCTAATGATGCAATATATCGAAGAAATGGACATTTTACTCTCTCTTTTTTTTTTTTAAGATGAAAAAAAAAACTATATAATATATATCCAAATTGTTGTATTTTAAATAAACATGTAAAAAAAATTTTAAGGGCGTTTGACCTTGCGGGCATCATTGACCCGCTATTTGCAATCAGTGGAGCTCTTTGAACTCAAAAATTTGACAATTGAGAAAGATTATTTAATAATAATGTTTGAACTACAATATCTCTCGAATTGTTTAGAGGATTTTCATACGATTCACAGTATTCGACGCAGTTTTTTAATCTTTAAAAAATAAACTAATCCAAAAAACCAATCTGAACAGAAATTTGGGAGTTATTTTAAAAAATCTGATAAAAATTAATCTTGCAGGTCATCCCTGGAACTTTCCGCTATTTTCAACTCAAATCGCTCAAAAATTTTTCTATTGCCAAATTCTGAGCTGAGAAAGCTGTAATTTCGAATAAGAACTTTTTCCATGTCTCGATATAAGTATTCCTGCTTGCTACAGAATCAAAACTAAAAGGGAAATTTCTTGGATGGTTGATTTGGCGACGATATTTTTTATAGAAATAAAATTTTGACAATAGGTTTAATTTCAGACCGCTAGATCACCCGTTCCTCTTAATAGACCAAAATCAACTGGAAAAATTTTTGAATTTGGATTTTTGTTGATTGTTATTTTGATCAAATATTGTTATTTTTATTGATTTGAGTACTATAATTTTTTATATTTCGAATAAAATTGTATTTTTCCTGAAAAATTCCCCAAAAAGATGATTATATACACAAATAAAATTAACTTAGATCGTGTAGAGGCACGTGTTGTTTTGAATAAAAAAAAAAAAAAATTTTCCCAGTGTTTTTTCATCAAAAAGAAGCTTTTTAGGGGGCGCCGCAAAAAATTTAATTTTTAACGACCACCCTATTGTATATGGACAATTTTATGAGAAATATTTAATTGGAAGAAAAGTTAAACGACCCCTTAATCAACATAACATTTAAACTATAGATTGAGTATGAACAAATGATTACTATTTCTCTTATATTAAGAATAAGTAATATAAATTTTAATGATTATTGAAACAAACAGTCAATAGAGTAATTGAATTTAAAAAATATACATTTCTTTTCTGTCTTGTCATACTCATAGATCTCTTCTTTTAAATGATATTTGTGAAACTTGTCATAAGTTATAATATACTATAAACAATTCTTTGCTTGTATTAACTGTTTATATTAATTGTTATCAAATATACTTAACTATCTATAACAAATAGATATTTAACGTCAGTCATTTTTTCTAATTAAATAAGCAGTCTCTCTTAATCGAATTATCTATACATTTTTTATAAAAGATATAAAAAAATTAATTAAAATCTGAACTACACTGTGTAAGTATAAAAAATTCAAATTAATTTAAAGTATAGTTTTTGTAACATCTCATATAATTTTATGAAAAAGATCTTTTCAAGTACCTCTTAAAGCTTTCTATCAAAGAAAGTAATTAAATATCTTATTGCATAGAATAACCAATATAAATTCAATTCTATATGCTTCGGTCTGTTTTGTTTACATCAATAATAAACGAAAAATCGTCTCATATTAAGCCATGCTTACTGCGTTAGCACTTAATTTAGTAAGTACTTACTTCGGCCAAACACGCCCAGTGATTCACACCCAGATAGCTATAGAGTTTCCCGCGCACTTACAAATTCACTTTTCAACTTCTTCTGTGTCGACTGTTGAGATCTGTCAACCAGCATAAAATAAATTGAAGAGAAAATTTTCTAGATTATCGACTTTCTATTGGGATCCGTGGGAGAGGCGTGGCTTAATTTTTGGCCGTCTGGTGGTTAAAAAATAAACTAGCGATTGTAGGATTCTGGATACAGCTGATGCTTGTAAATAAACGTGTAGATAGGATATAAAATTAAATTAAAAATTGCGTGTGACCAAAATTTAATTAAAAATGCGTGTAAACTTACAAGAAATTTGTAAATTTACTTCAGCTACAGCTGCTAGTAAGAATTTTATTGATGGAGAAAATATTATTGATTGTGGTCATTTATTGAATTGTGGGAAAGTGAATCATAGTGATGACAGTGATGTTTATCATATCCTTGCTTTTTGCTTACAAACAGCTGGTTTAAGAAATTAACCTCATGAAATAAATGCTCAATTCTCAAAGAACGGAAAAATAATTGGTATGGAATGCTCTTGCAAGGCTGGATTGGGAAGTACTTGCAAACATATTGTGGTAGTACTTTTATTTTGTAACCGGTAATTATGACTTTATCTTTCTTTCTTGTTAATCAATAAACTCTAAAATTATTAAATATTTATTAAATTATTGATTCTATTATTCTGTACTTACAGAAATAACTTTGAAGATTTTAAAGATATTACGTGTACAGATAAGAAATGTGCCTGGAATGCACCTTATAAATCAGCTCTTGAAAAATATGAGGCGAAGCTTTTATTTGAACACAAATGTGTTGAAGAAAAACAAAAAAAAAAGATGAAGATAAAGGGAAAATGAAGAAATCTATCAGATCACTCTAAGGCAAATACGTCACTCCAAAAGAAGCTGCTACTGATCCTCCAATATGTTTAAGCATGGGTTTGACTGAATTAGATGAAGCAGAATATGAAGAATTTCTTAAAATAATGGTGGAAGAAAATTCTTCATCAGCTTTAGCAAAACATTTTTAAATAATTTTTATTTTAATTAATTTTTTTATTGATGTTTTTTTTTGTAAATAGTTTACATCATCAATTTTATATTTGACTCCGAAATGATTTTTTTTTTGTAAATAGTTTACACCATCAATTCTTTATTTTTATGTGGAGAAAATTCCATTTTTATAATTATATTGATGTACGTATATTAATTTTTTATAAATGTATGATTACGAAATTCACTTTTTGTATTGCTTATTTTTTTTTTTTTAATAAAAATTACACTGTATTTTGCTATTTTATTGATATTAACATTGTGTTAAACATGATTCTATCCTACAATCGCTAGTTTGAATTTAAACCACCAGGCGGCGTATTTAAATCCTCAGTTTCCCAATATATTTTGAATATTTTATTGTTGTAAAAATTGCTCATTTATATAATTTATTATTTTTGTTCCATTTCTTTTAATATTAAAGATTATTTAAAAATATAATGAAGCGTTTAATTCAATCTATAAAAGTGTATTAACAATAATCTAAATAATATAATCGATTGTTCGGTCAATCGATTTAAAGGCTATGATGATAATTCCGGCTGATTCCGGCACTCAGGTATATGCTTTATTTACATACCATTACCACATTCAGTTGATGGTTTATCTAATTTTTCATCATTGGTAATAAGCATTAATTTTTAACAATCAAAATTCATTTTTTGCAAATATTTTGTGTGATAATTGTCATGTAAAGTGAATATTTAATTTCTAGTGTATCATTTTTTTTTCGGGACTTAACAAAACTGAAAGTCTACAGGTTAGAATATCATAATACTAAGAATGGTTGTAGGCAAATTCACCCTTTTTATTGTCATAACTATTGAATCCTAGATGATAGTGAGATTAATGTTAAACGATTATAGTTATAAGTATAGTTAATTTGATGATGATGAGAATTCTACATCAGACGATTTGAGTTAATTTTCATGACATCTAATTTTTTTTTTATGAAAATTGTTTGATAGCTACTTTTAGTATTAATTTTCAATTTATTATCAACAGTGTCAACATAATTAATTAATGCATAAAATATTTTGTCACTTATATATTTTTCGATTTGATCTAAATTTATTCATATTGTCAGTTTTTTGCTTTTTTTTCAGAAAATTTGTTTTGTTATCATAGATCTATTTTAATAAACAGTAAGTATCTAAATTAATAATAACTTTCAGTAATCTTCTTCTTATTTAAATCCCTCGAAAATAATAAAAAATTATTTAGCAGATAAACATGGATGGTGAGACAAGCACAATAAACTATAAATGGCATATCTTCAGTCTTATTATTCCAAAAAATACCAGGATTTGCTCATATCCATTTTCTACACTAAAAAATCTTAGTTTTGATATCAGTATTGGAAAAGGTCTTCAAGCTAATGCTATTGACTTACAAGTAAGAAAAAGTGATCCAAGGCAAGGTAGCGCTGTTATATCGATTGAATTGGTTAAACAAAATAGCGTTATACCGTCGGATGTACTAGAACGCCATAAAAGAGATAAATTTAGTAGTTCTATATATCAAAATGAATCAAATAATATTTATAAATTAATACTCAAAGACAATACGACTGAAAAAAAAGAACTAAATGATTGGAGAGAGGCATGTACTTTCAATTTTTCAAAATTTGATATTCCACCGCTTATAAATACATTTTTAAATGATTGTTGCATAAAGGATTTAATTATTAGTTGCACAATAACATGGCGTGGTTTCAACAAACCCGAGGTTCAAAGAATTCCTCCGGTGCTCCAGCCATTTTTCAAAGCAGATGAATTTAGTGACATTGTTTTGGTAGTTGACAACCATAAGCTACCAGCTCATAAAATTATTTTATCGGCGCACAGCCCATACTTTCATGCAATGTTTACCACAGATATGAAAGAAAGTAAAGAAAATCGCGTTGAGATTCAAAACTTCACTGTTGATCTAATCACTGAAATGCTAGAGTTTTTCTATACTAACAGAACAAAAGCTACTGAAGATGTCGATGTTGCTCTGCAGATGGTTCCAGTTGCTGATATGTATCAAATAAACAGTTTAAAAGATATCTGTGAAGCTACTTTATCGAAAAATATCAACTTGGATAATGTACTACCCATTTTGTGCACAGCTGATGACCACAATCTCACTAAATTGCGCAACAAAACTGTAATCTATATGAGAAACAACAAACAGAATGTCGTTAAAATTCCAGAATTTGAAAAATTATTTTACGATAAACCTCGTATCATGTATGAATTTACTTACGCTATGGCAAGTTTATGATTATATTTTTTTTATCAATAATCAATAAATTTATATAAAATTATTCAGAATATTTTTTTTTTTGATCAGTTCAAATAATGTAATACCGAAAATATTCGACATTCATCAATTTTTGTGTTTATTGAATCAGCTTTTTTTTTCGGTAAAAAACATTTCATAAAATGTAAAAAAAATTATTTTTGGGTTAATTTTTTAAAATTTTGACACTGCTTGTGAGCGTCAAATTTTGTCTCATTTAGACGACACAAAATAAACGTTAATTTTTCAGTAGACTGTATTGAAAAACAAATTATGAATTAATACTTGTCTGCTTAAATTTCACAAAATATTTTCAACAATTTTTTTGTACTGCTTAAAATGCTATAATGTTAAAAAATAGTTATTTTCGATACTTATGCGCAAATGTAGGGATTCTGACGGCTTGAAGTGACGTCACGAGTTTGAGGCTATGGGCGCATTCTTATCAAAACCGAGTTAGTTTTCCGGCCGAGCGAAGCGAGTCCGGATATGGTACGAGGTCTTGATGAAGAAAAGCTCAAAACTTCGGAATAGATAATTTCTCGAGCGTTTTAAATTCGTACATAACGGGAAGTTCCAGAGATAGTCTGCGGGGTTAACCGTTTTCCAGACTATTTTTTAATATAGTATTTTTATGTTAAATAATAATCTGATAGCAGTATTAACCTTTTGACAATAGTAAATGCTCTGACCACACTATACACCACGCTGGAACTACTTCAAAATTGGACTGGAATCATGAACTGCGCGATCCAACTACTTTAATTATATGTGAAAAACAAGATTTTTAAAAAAATGTATGTCACGTGCAAATTAACAGACTGATAAGAAAATTAACTCGATGCAAGAAAAAAAATTAGGAAAACGTTTGACCCTAATAAAGCCCATCCCTGCAACTTCCCGCTATAATTGCATAACAGCGTCGCGGTCCGAAGTTTAAACTCATGACGATGCATGAGACTTGGGCCTCGATGATGTTCTCTAAGGTAACTTGAGATGCGACGTTGCAAATTATGATTACTTTATATTTCATTGTACTGGATGCAAATCCAGATCAGAGTCTGCTCTGAGTAATCAGGCGACAATCATCTTAGGGCGTCGGACGTGTGTCTGGTACCACCTGGACCAAATTATATAATTAATTGAATGATATACTCTAATTTTATGTAATCGTGTGTATTATTTTAAATATAATACCCTAATAATAATTTTAAGAATTTGTAGAGTATCTACCTAAAGACACCCGCCTCGTAAATTATAAAAACATTCGCTGGAAAATCCAAAACGTTACACAAGTTAATTTATTTAAGGGGTTATGAATACAATAGCGCGTCAATCATGTAAAAATATAAATATGCACCGCTCCTGTAGAAGATGTTCCGAACGACCTCTAAAAAAAAAAGCGTTTGGCGGTGATCTCCATTTCAGTGGTTTAGATTATCTGAAATAAAAAAATATGATGAATTCTTTTAAAACGATAGATTAATGCAGGTATTGGACGAAGGAATAAGATTTAAAAAAATTATTACTATTTTTTTTTTAACAATTTGGAAAATAGTTTTTTAAGAGAAACGAAAAATTTTTTACAAATAGATGCCATTTTGTCAAAAATTAAAATTTTTCTTATTCCTTCGTCCAATACCTACATTAATCTATCCTTTAAAATAATTCACCATATTTTTTGATTTCAGATAATCCAAACCGCCGAAATGGAGATCACCGCCAAACGCCTTTTTCTTAGAGGTCGTTTGGAACATTTTCTACAGGAGCGGTGCACATTTATATTTTTAAATGATTGACGCGCTATTGTATTCTTGAAAGTAGGCTCTATTTGAATAATCATCACTTGTAATTGATAAATAAAAACGGTGTCTATAAAAAATTCATAAAAAAATGTTTTTAGCCTTGCAACTGCGTATAACCCCTTATTAAATCAAGTTATTTTAATCATAAAATATATTATTGTTATACTAAATATAATATTTACGTTTTGTTATTGATTTTGAAGTACTGTATTATCTAAATTTTTATTGAATTGATGTATTGAAATATTATTTTTCTTATACGGGTCATTCCATGTCAAATCGACCAATAGTTGGAATCTACCCCTTTCGATTTGGACGAATTTTGGTCAGAAGTTTTCTTTTATCATATAACGGAGTTCTGCCAAAGGAAAAAAAATAAAAAAATTTTTTTCAAAAGATGTGCAAACTCAAAATTTCGCGATTTTTCCAGTTTTTCAATTTTGTTTTTGTAATATCTCGAACGCTAGTATAGATACAGGAATGATCTTTCATTTGTTTGAAAAAAAAAAAAGCGTTTGGCGGTGATCTCCATTTCAGTGGTTTAGATTATCTGAAATAAAAAAATATGATGAATTCTTTTAAAACGATAGATTAATGCAGGTATTGGACGAAGGAATAAGATTTAAAAAAATTATTACTATTTTTTTTTTAACAATTTGGAAAATAGTTTTTTAAGAGAAACGAAAAATTTTTTACAAATAGATGCCATTTTGTCAAAAATTAAAATTTTTCTTATTCCTTCGTCCAATACCTACATTAATCTATCCTTTAAAATAATTCACCATATTTTTTGATTTCAGATAATCCAAACCGCCGAAATGGAGATCACCGCCAAACGCCTTTTTCTTAGAGGTCGTTTGGAACATTTTCTACAGGAGCGGTGCACATTTATATTTTTAAATGATTGACGCGCTATTGTATTCTTGAAAGTAGGCTCTATTTGAATAATCATCACTTGTAATTGATAAATAAAAACGGTGTCTATAAAAAATTCATAAAAAAATGTTTTTAGCCTTGCAACTGCGTATAACCCCTTATTAAATCAAGTTATTTTAATCATAAAATATATTATTGTTATACTAAATATAATATTTACGTTTTGTTATTGATTTTGAAGTACTGTATTATCTAAATTTTTATTGAATTGATGTATTGAAATATTATTTTTCTTATACGGGTCATTCCATGTCAAATCGACCAATAGTTGGAATCTACCCCTTTCGATTTGGACGAATTTTGGTCAGAAGTTTTCTTTTATCATATAACGGAGTTCTGCCAAAGGAAAAAAAATAAAAAAATTTTTTTACAAAAGATGTGCAAACTCAAAATTTCGCGATTTTTCCAGTTTTTCAATTTTGTTTTTGTAATATCTCGAACGCTAGTATAGATACAGGAATGATCTTTCGTTTGACCATATTAAATACTCTATCCATAAAATTAACCCAATAATTAATTAGATGCAAAAAATATATAATTAAAAAGTTTGGAAAATCTAAATGAGCATGCTTAAGCGCTCATGTCATACATAAATTATTTAGATCATAACAAAAATTATTCTTTTTTAATTTGAATTTTCCCGCGAGTAGTATTATGCCCTCTGTAGGTCAAACTAAAGAAAAATTTTAACAGATGATAAAACAGTTAGTAATTATACCATCATGTATGTATAGTTTCTGCTTGTTTATAGTTATTTCAATTCTGTTTTTGAAAAATAATATATATGGCTGCCGAAATCGCAAAAAAGTCACCGAACTGACAATCGAAAAAAAATTTTTCTTAAAATTATTTTTTTTCTCATCGTTATGCCACTAAATGATATTTTAACTGTTCAGAATATCGAAATTACGCGATTTTCCAAACTCAATTAAGATAAAAATAAAAAAAAAAATTTTTGAGAAAATTTTTTTTTTTTTTTTTAACAAATTTCAAAAATTTGTATTTTTGAAAAAACAAAAAACACAGTTCTAAAAATTTCAGGATCTCTTAAGATTGGTACAAGGTAGTATATAAAAAAATTGGAGAAAAAAATTTATTGTCGACCGTCATTTTTGACGATTTTCAAAAATTCAAAATCTGACAAATTTGGCATTTTTCAAAATTTTTTGCCAAAATATTTTTTTTCAATAGCTCCAAGTGTCCCCTTTCAAACAAACGAAAGATCATTCCTGTATCTATCCTAGCGTTCGAGATATTACAAAAACAAAATTTAAAAACTGGAAAAAACGCGAAATTTTGAGTTTGCATATCCTTTGAAAAAAATTTTTTTATTTTTTTTCCTTTGGCAGAACTTCGTTATATGATAAAAGAAAACTTCTGACCAAAATTCGTTCAAATCGAAAGGGGTCGATTCCAACTATTGGCCGATTTGACATGGAATGACCCATACATTAAAGCCAAAATGAAGTTCTTGCCGAATGAGCACCATAAATATTTACATTATTGTATATTTATAATAATGTCTTGAAATTCCCCGTGATTAAAAAATTGATAATTTAGAGTCTTTAATACAAGTAAGTCAACAATATTTATCCCACCAAGACGTAGATTAATCATTTTTTTGTTTAAGTCAAGATGAAAGGTCACTGATGATTCAACAATTCCTCTTACACGACGCAATGGGAATGACTACTGATAACACTGCTGACATCTATATGTACGCAAACATTTTGTAAATATATACTTACATAAATCTCAGGAATTAGTCAATTGCCTATTAACTTTGACAATGATCGTTTCAAGAAGCTTCATTAGTTACATTTTAATTTTCGTTGTGATTATTTCAGTTTTCACTGGTAAGAATTTTTTTTATTCAATAAATATTTTACGTATATTTAATTATAATTAGGCTATTCGGAGACTGTGAGTAGTCCAGCGTGAATATTAGAAATTTCTTACCTCGCCATTGGCTAAAAAAATCTTATATTCACGCTAGGCTCACGCTACAGTGTCCGAATATCCTCAGTCATTTAATTATTCATTTTCAAATTATTTCAAGAAATAAGTCAAGCTCGAAGATTTAAATTAAGTCTTGGAAAAATTCGAAGCAGTGGTTCTCGAGGAGGTGGTTCTCGAGGAAGTGGTTCTCGAGGCAGTACCAGTTACAGTCCACCACGCCCATCAACGCCAGTATATCACCCTCCAGTAAATCATCCACCATCAATTAGCCGACCAGTTCCAATCACTTATTCGTCTCCACCGAGTAAGCCAGCGACTCATTTGCCTTCTAGTCCAAAAGACAGTAGTGGAGCGTTAATACACCATGAAATCAAAAGTAATTCCAATCCATCATCTAATCCACCTTGGGCGAATCCGTCTTACAAACCTTCAGCACTACCTGTAGCACCTCCAAAAATTTTGCCTCCAAATTCAGCTTCAAATATTCCAAAGCCTTCGGCGCCATTTGCATCACAGCCGATAATTCCAAAAAGTGTTACTCCAAATCAATCAAATCCTCCATATCCAACAGGACATCCTGTGGAGATGCCTCATGTGTCTAAGCCAAATACAAATGTTAATTATCATCCTAATTCTGCTCCAATTACCCCTCATCAAGCTCCAAACCTTGGAAATAGTTACGGTCATCCACCAAATTACTATCCGAATAATTACCACCAACCACCTCCAGTTTATGGAGCACCGCCAGGAAGTCACGGAGGATACGCTCCACCACCTCCATACTCGTCTGTTTATCATCCACCAGCAGGTACGCCTAATTATCATCCGACTTATGTCCATCCTCCTGTTTACGGGGGCGCCAGTTCTCAGCCATTTGTTCCTGGCCAGAATGTTGTGGTTGTACCGGGTAATTCCAAGGGTCCAGGAATAGGACAGTTAGTTAAGGAAGCTGTCGTTTTCTCAACTGTTAACGCTGGAGTCAATGCTGCAATTAACAGAGTTATTAATGGAGCACCGAGTCATTATTATCATAATAACCCTGGTTACAGCCCTGCTTACAGCGCTCCGAATTCTCCATCAGTTACCAATAACACGACGATTATTTATAATAATGTACCTCCTCCCGGACAGATTAATGCATATCCTAATGTTAATGCAGGTTATGATCCAAATTATAATAATCAACCAAATAGTTTTGCTAGTAATGTTTCTCCAAGTTTTCCAAACAATGGAAATATATCTCCCAGCATTCCGAATAATTCAGGAGGTTATAATTCACCACAAAGTGGTTCTAACGTACCTGTAATTTTTTCACCTAAATTTGGTGATTCAAATTCTAGTACAACAATTTCGCCAAATTTAAGTAATCAAACAAGTTTGTATCCAACTCTCAGTAATCTTACTGAAAATCCTAATAATGCTAAGGATAATTACAATGCTACTCTAACTCCGGTTATTCCTGAAATACAATATTACATAACTGAAAATGAATTATTGAATTTAACGGAACATCTATTTATGAAGGATGAAATGAATAAATTACCTAAGGCCTATGTTCTCAATTTCCAAAAAAAAGTGTCAAATAGCTCAAACATAACTGACGAAGCCACTCAACCGTAAGTATTTTAGATGTTGATCTTATTGATCTAAAAATCAATGTTTCTGAACACTCACATAATTATATTATTTTTTTAGGTTGATTTATGTGAAGAGAGAAGTGTATGAATATAAAACGGTTCAGTTAGTTCGTGAACTTTATGAAAATTATCAGTTTAACTCTACGAATAAGGAAAACGTCACGGAAGCAGTTAAAGAACAGGAAAGAGCTTTGATAAACACAATTTCTGATACGAACGTTATGAAATCAGTTGCTCAATGGCTACAAGAAAAATATTACGTTGAGCCAGATAACTACGAGTTCAAGGATACTTTGAGACACATTTGGTTCAATAGAATAGACAAGTCGACTTCTGGATTCGAAAGGATTTTCATGGGTGAAATGTACGATGGTCCATCGCTTCTTGGAGTCCAAAATTGGATCTATTATGATTTTCAAGAGTACCAGAGGAATCTCAACTACTTGTCCTTCGTGGATAAAATTGATCTGAGCGCAGTAAGTTTTTAATATTTCAATGATCTCAATTAAAAATACTTTTATTATTAATTATTTGATATAAATTCACCCAATATGAATGATTGAAATGACTAAAACTCGAATATATCTAACTAATTTTGTTTTTAACTTTAATTTGTAATGTCATTATAATTGCTGATTAATTGTAATTATTAATTTGTTTCTTAGAATGCATCTTTGGTGAAAATTAATCTGGAGTTATTTGGTGTCCTGAAACCTAACATTACAATGTTGACTGGAATTTCGCCAGAGTTGGAGATGGCATTGTACACTATCTGTTTTTATGCTCGGCCGAATGATATTTGTCCAGTATCTCTAGGAGGAATTGTATTTAACTTATACACTCATAATTTCCGGTACTTTGATAAGGATGTAATAGATCTTGGTTTTATCGTATTTTAAATAATATGAATATTTAAAAAGAAATGTTCATTCATCAGTTTCTTAAAAAACTTTCCATATAAGTAATTACTTTATAAAAATTGTACAAATATTTTTTAAATTGAGCCTAATTTATAATTAAATACTGTAATTATATTGATACATATTGCACAAAATATACATATACCGGAGTATGCATTTTATCTCGCCTAAAAATGGAAACACGTTTTTGTAATTAACCTGTCGCTGGAATAATTTCTATATTTGCCAAAAAATTGAGATAATCATATTAATAGCAAATTGTAAAGAAAATTAATTTTTCGCAATGAACTTGTTAATGAATATTTTTGAACAAAAGTGAAATTTAAGAAAAAACAATTTTATTGTATTAAGCGTTTTTTTTTTTTTTTTTTTAGCGTGTAGGTATATTTATGACTGTATGGGATAATTAACCTTGTTTCTTTTTTTTTTTTGTAATTATAATCATTTCAGATCAAATAGCAGGTTATTTTTTTTTTAAATAAAGAAATATTTGTTGAGACAAAAATTAATTCATTGAACGATACCTACGATTATTTTAAGGTCGTACAAAAGTCCCATTATACGTTAATACTCAAACGGAAAATGAAAATTAAGGTTCCCAAACGACACAAATTTTTTTTTTATTAACATTTTGTTGAATTTAAGTTGACGATTATTAATTTTTGACTTCTTGTTGAGTGAAATCTATCAAAAAGCCAATATTATTTTTATTGTGACGCATGGATAATTTTATTTTGACAAAATACCAGTATACTATTTGATTATAATCAAAAATATGTAAAAGAGTAAACGCTGATCATGATTTATGATGTTTATATTGAGTCATATAAAAATTAGCAGCAATGAATTTAATACTATTATGATGAACAAAACAACAATAATACGGATTCGATTGAATTCATAATTCTAAAATTTCAAATTATCAGCAGCTTTCTTTTTATTTCCATCTTCCATGTTGATATTAAATCCGGCGAAAAGTAGATTCAATCATGTTTAAATCTCTACAACCTTCAAGCGCAACATTCTTTCTCGGTTATGGGTGTTGTTGAGATTAGATAGGATCCTTATCTATTTAATAATGAAATGGTTCATTATTGTGACTGCTAGTAGCTAAATGTAATGTTGTTTCGTGATGAGAGATAAAATATGCGGTTCAGGGAAGCATTTTTATTTCCCTGGTTGAAAAGAATAATTAAAAACTGGTGACAATTTTCCCCATAAGAGAAGGAACTCAAAAGAATTGAAAATATCCTTGAAAATAATCGTATGAGAAGAAAAAAAAATCAAATTGTGTCGTTTTGGATATCTAGAGGGGCTCAATTTTTTAAGTTTTGCTAATTTTCGTCTTACTTTATTGTGATCCATAGAATAGATTTTTTTTAATTACAAAACAGTATATGAGATTTTAATTAGCTGAAATTTATAAAATAAAAAATTGAGAAACTTTTGATTTTTTATTATTATAATTATTATTATTTATTTATTAAGGCCATGGAGTCAAGACTCCTTGCGGCCCTCCAAGATAAATACAAAAATTTATTATACAATAGTGTAAAAAAATATTAAACAAATTATTATTATTAAATTACATTAGCTATTATGTTCCATCATACATTGATTATAAAGACCATCAAAAAACATTCTCTTTACTCAGCAAAAACTCATAACAGGCTTGTCTGAAAGTTTGAAAAGTTTTTAATTTGTAAATTGTAATGAAAAGGATAAAAAATTGTATATTTCATATTGTAATTAATTGCTTAAGCGCATACTGATAAAAAAATTGACTTGACTCAAGAGCCAAACTCTTGGACCAAGAATTCCATATTGAAGAAACTGATTTTCTTGTGCCAAGAGAATAAATTCTTGAGACAAGAAATATTTATTTGAATCAAGAATAATTTCTTAACTCAAGAATTTATTCTCTTGATTTAAGAAAATCATTTTCTTCAAAATGGTATTCTTGGTTCAAGAGTTTTGCTCTTGAGTCAAGTCATTTTTTTTATCAGTGCAGTTATTTTATATAAAATAGTTTTTTAATAAATCAGACCAGATACATAATTAAATATGTCATACAATAATCTTCTTTTTAAATTGACATATAATCAACTGACTAATTAATTAATAAGCAATATTTTTTTTTTAAATAACAAAACAAAATCAATATTTTTCAAATAAATTAAGACGGGTGTCTTGAATTATTCCAACATTTCATTTAATTTAGTTCAAATTTATACAATAAAAAATTTATCACTTGTTTTCTCAAAATTCGGAGGTTCAATGTTTGTTCCAGTCTTGACTCGACCGTCATAGTGAGCGGACCGAGTCTTATCTATAGTGAAGTGAGTGAAAAGTATCATAGCTTAAGATTTCCAAAATATCGTACACGTGATAATTAGTTTGAGTGGACAAACAGCTCTTAAACAACTGTCAAAACACAGGACAAATTACTCGAGTAACCGCTGAGTACAGTGGTGAACCAAAATGATGCAAAACAACAATCCCACAAGAATCGCCTCCTACAAAGAAACTATCCAAAATGAAGTTCTACCACAGAAAAATCAAGCGATTATTGTTGACGCGATTGAAGGACTAACAGTTAACGAATACATAAATTCAGTAGCCAAGGTAACAAACCCAACACACATCAGATTCGCGTCCAAAATCGCGAACGGAAGAATGTGTATCTACATGTCAACAAAAGAAATTACCGATAATTTAATAGACGCCATCAAAGTTATTAAAGTTGGTCAACATTCCTTAGCGGTGAGGCCATTAATCTCAAGACACACTAGAATAGTAATATCCAATGTGCACCCAATAATCCCTAATAAACTATTACTCGAAAAATTCCAAGAATTAGGTATTAAAATAGTATCTAATATAACACCTATTAGAGCTGGTCATCCTCAGTATGCTCATATAATGAGCTTTAGACGCCAAACATTTATTGAACCAGCTAACCTTGACAAACTCCCAAGTGTAATTGAAATTGAACACGAAGAAACTAAATACTACATCTACCCATCAATAGACACGGTAATGTGCTTCTTGTGCAAAAAAAAGGGCATATTGCAAGATAATGCCCACACAATGAAAACAACAACAGACCTGACCTATCTCAAGAATCTACAGAGATCTCACCATCGATTCAATCAAAACAACCGGGAACACAGGAAGAAAACACTATTCAACACCAAGAATTCAACGACTTTCGCTTCCCTGATCTTCCCCCAAGATCCAACAAATTCAATACAAATAATAACAGCAAAATACAAGTTAAACTAATGGAGACCACAGAAGCCTATGCAAGTTGCAAAAGACCTCTGTCCATAGTTGACATCGGATTTTTTTTGAAATTAAATTATAATGAATATGGAGCAGTTTCATGCTATAAATATCAGAAATCGCCACAATTATTTTGTTGGAATACTGAATTTTTAACGATACTTGCAAAAAATTTTTTTATTAATTATGTTTACATTGTTAATTTTTTTTTTCAGCTAAATTCCCACGTATCTAATGACTAGAAACGCCAAAGGAAATCTTCATTCTACTAAAATTTACACTGCAGTAATGGCGACTGGTTGCTTATTTATTTTGACACACTGTTCGGATTTGTATATCTTGTTTCCAGATGTGACTTTTTATTTAGATAATTAGCTGGTCATAAAAATACGTATAAAAATATTATTTTGAAGCTTTGGTGAGTAATTTTAAATTTTTATTATTCTTTGACATTTATTTTATCTTCTTATTTTATTTGCGATTACTATTTTTTTACACTAAGAATTAGAAAAATTATAAATCTTGTAGTCAGTGTAAAGAAAGAAAAAAAATATTTTAAACTTTATAAGTTAACTGAAACGACTTATACATTAAGTAGTACCTGGAACTGTTTTGAAATCAAATTTTAATTTACCGTTCGTAATAATTAACAAGTATAAGGTAAATAATTAATTTGTCATTTTTTTATCTGTGCAGATTCTTCGTAACTTTACTTTTGAGTAGAGTGGTTCTCGCAAGCTGATAGACATGGAATATTTAAAATTATTTCAAATTGAATATATGGCTGTTAATTTTAATTTATACGTAAGTATAAAATAGTTTTTTATCTTTTTGTTATTATTTGTACAATGCGTTTCATTGATTCTTTACGGTCGGAAATTTTACAGAAAATGGAAACATCAAATTTTGGAAATCTGTGAGTAAGGAAATCAATAAATGAAAAATATGGAAAAATAAGATTTCAGAAATAATAAAAAAATTATGTGTCTTATTGAGGATACTTTGCAATATCGATTAGTTAAAAAATAGCAATGAAAAAATGTAGTAATCAAAATAATTAGAATTATTTTAAAAAAGACAAGCGTAAAATTATAAAATCAAAAAAAAAGATTTCCGTGAAATTAGACGCATCAGAATATAAACATCTAAAATGACTGATATTTAAAAAAAAAGAAAAGAATAAATTCAGACAAGTCGAAAAAAAGACAATTATAAATTTAAAAACATAAAAAAATAGACAGTCATTAATATTCGTAAACTTAAAATATGGAAATCTGTAATAAATATAGACTAATAAATGATATCTGATGTAATTATGAAAATCTGTAAATACGGATAAATATAAATTCTGATAATTTTTATAAGAAAGACAATTGTAAACGTAGTCATCATACGAATTGAGAGCGAAGGAATTTAAAATACAAAATATAACAGAGAGGAGATATATTTTCCAGTGACCGCTGCTCCGGGAAGTTGTCAAGTTGTCGGCAACAGATATCCCTACAATTAACAGCTCTTGTGACTGCTGCTCCAGGAAGTTGTGCAGTTATTTGCGACGTTGTGTCCTGGATTTTTTAAAAATATAAAGATTTATCTCCCGATACTGGTATTAAATATTTTTAAAGGCTGATAACTGCCACCAGCTCTTGTGACCGCTTCTCCAGGAACTATTGAAGTTGTCGACAACAGATTTCCCTATAATTTTTATAAAAAACCAAGATTTATGTTTAGATCTTTTTTCATAATCTTATCCAATTATTTTCTAATTCGTGAATATTTTTTTTCTAAATTTTTATCATTCATTTGTTTATTTAATTATAAACAAATAGTTGTGATATTTTTTATTGGTTATAATAATTTGTTATCCATAAGTCGATGGTGATGGATCGTAAGTCTAAATATATTGGTGACAGAATGAGGGTTTGATGCGTTCGGATTAAGCGCACCACCACCCCGGGGCGCTATCGCTATTTAATTTTCGTCGCGAAATAAAATGAGATAGCGATAGCGCTCCGGAG